ATTAAAATATTTAAAAAATACAAGATTTAATGTTAAGTAATCCATTCTGCAAATTTATGTTCCATGCAGTTTAAATTTTTTTTTAGAGCACTGATTCATTAATAAAGTTTTTAGATAAGAAAATTAAAATCATTATAAAATTTAATTTTGAGATAAAAGGAACTCAGCCAATAACCACTCTCCTTTCCATCAAGAGTAATGATGATTTTCCTCACTCTAAACTACACATAGGAACCATTTGGCTTGCAAAAAGGACTAAAAATCAAAAAATTTTTATGTAACAGATGAAAATGCAAAAATTTTTGTGTAAAAGATCTTTTTGCAAGCATTAGATTTTCATATATCTTCTACAACATCTGATGATATAACAAAAAAATATTAGTTGTAGTATGAACAAAATTATTTTATTTTCTGCATTTTTAACTAATTGGGAAATTAATGGTTGATCTGATTTATTAATTGATTGTTATTTTATTAGAGATATTTTTTAATAATTAAAATCCTAAGTCTATCAATTATACCATGTTACCAAGGGCATGAATATGAATGCATTCATAAAGTAATTAAATTGATGTACCATCCCTCCTCTGTAAGTCTTAGTGGCTATGATTTCATTTTATTAATATTCGAAAATTAATACCTAGAACGCAATCATGTTTCCAATCAGAACAAATTTAATCTTAAATGATAGACTTATGGGAGAAGTATAAAGTTAGCATTTTCTGGACTAACAAGTTGAGTTTATAAAAAATCATACTCACAATTTTAAAACTAAGTGTTGAAATATTACATATTAAAAATCCACATTATTGCTCGCTGCACAATTCAAAATGACAAAACCGATACAACTTCTATTTTATTATCTAGAGTTAAATAAAATAACATTATCATATCTTTAATTTGACCAAAAGTCTCAGCATAATTTGCTTTTATCCAAGTTTGATATAGATGGATTAAATTTTAAGTACAATAGTCACTGTTATCATAAATAACTATCCTAATCTTGTTTATTTTTTTTTCACAAGTAGTTAATGATAGATATTTACTAGCATATTTATAATCAGAACTCAAATAAAAAGAATAATTAAACTTAATTAATTGTTTTATGATGGCACTTTCTTTCACAAACATTGTTTGAAAAATCTGAAAATTTATTAATAGAGTAGCATCTTAATTAGAATACAGTTGTTAGCAATGTTGATTACTTCTACTGTCTCTAATAGCTTCACATTAATTAGAAGGTTTCTTAGTTTTAAAATAATATTATGAATAACTTTTACTTTTTCTAATGATTTAATAGCAGTTTTCCTTTTTTTCTTATCTGTTTCCTTGAATAGTGGTATTCACAGTGCATTTAAGATTCCACACATAAAATTGTTATTGCATTCCTTACGTAATATCATTAAGAGAAGATTATTGTATATATAATCCAATTTCATATTCTGGAAGTTTCATGAATAGATATAGTTCTTTTGTTTGTGATTTAGCCTGGATATAAATTAAATTTGATTAGTGTAAAAAAGTTTATAAGCATAATTAATTTCAATTATTTGGCAGTAGTTAGCAATTTAAACCAGAATATCATCCTATATACGAACCATCTATCCCCTTAAATGATACGCGTTCATAGTGCCAAAAATATAATTAAGGATGTGCATCAGTTCAAACTTTATAAACACCCTTTTCTACAACTTTTCCATTTTCAATAAATCTTGTAAATGTACTCCAGCAATGTTCTTCAAATGTTATCATAATCATTCGTTAGACAAACACACACTTAATTTTCTTATTTTTAGTAAACTAACACATGTGCAATAAGGCAACCACTCTTTGTATTGTGTGATACTCTGATAAATTATTGGAGCAATAGTTTTTCAATACACCCTACATCAAATCAGATGAGGAAATTTTCATAAATATTTTTTTTTTTTAAATAGGATTTAAAGTTTAAATCCATCCTAAAAATATTGTAATTTGACCTACAAATCAATCTTTGCATTCACTCAAATATTATTCTAAAGTAAAAGATGAATTTTCACATATTGTTTTTCTAACTTATATTATTTTAAAAATCCCGATAGCAGTTTTATATTTTAAATATACTTTCAAGCATTTTCCATCATCAAAATATTAGGTGCATAAGTCCTATTATTAATATTTTCATACCTTCTCCGCTTACAGTGAGACCGTCTTATCCATCTTTATACATATGATATACCTTATTAAATATATTTGTAGTTCTTTAAACATTACAACATCTCAACAACTTATTTTTTACCTAAAAACAATCACTACCATTTTTACTCTCACATCCATTCTATATTTATAATCTTATCATTCCAAAATTTATAAATCTGCCATTTTCTTCTTCATAATTAAATCACACATAATAGAAGAATTCTATTATCATCAAATATCGGAATGCAAGCGAAGGAGATTTTCTACCTTTAGCCATCCATGAAAACATTAAAAATGTTTAGCCATTAACAAAAAAAAAACTTAAATAAACATTAATTGTAAGCTGACTTCTAAAGAGTTACATTTTCTAATATTTTTTATCATCCTCTCTATGAACATCAGAAGAATCATTAAATTAAAAATTAGTCAAACTAAATTCATAAAAAATAAATAAATTAGAATTATAAATTATTAATTAAACTTGAAAGTAAAGCTAGAATTCAAAGAAAGATAAAATTTTAGTATAATTTAAGGTAATTCTGAAAAATATCATTAAATTCAGTTAATTAGTTTCTAAATTGAAAATAAGTCCACTTGACTGAATCTGTAATTGAATAGTAATTGTGAAATTAAGCATTCTGTTTCTGACATATCAACTATCAGATCTTAATAGGCTACTGAAGTAGATATAAGGGTAAAAGTAATCACAACTTCTTCAAAGGAGTCCAAACAGCTGTGGAAAAATGGATTTGTAATACTATTCTAAGTAGAATTAGGTATAAATAAGATTATTTTTATAGTTTCTTTTTCATAACATTTAGTATGAATTTTTAAATTTGTTTATTATTCTGCTTTATCTATGATGATTCTTGTTAACCCCAAGTTTGTTGCTTTCTATATATCTCCTTAAATTTCAATTTTGAATGATTGTAAATAATCAACTTTACTATCTTTAAAATACTTTATTGAAATGTAACCAATTTCATAAGGTTTAAATTCAGTGATATATTCAAATTTCATCCAACTTTGTTTGTGCCAGAGGGTTGGCATACAACAACAACCTGTTGCATAACTTTAAAAATTTCCAACATCCATATCATACCATAAATTATTAACATTTGAGAAATACTATTTCTTGAATCTAATTTCTTAAACTCCATCATACTAAAAACCGTAAAATGGCAAAAGAAACCATGATGATTATATGAATGCAAATTCTTGGCTAGTATATGGGGAATTTATTAATGCTAATGGTTATTATTAAAATGTTTCATCAATTCCTAAAATTATTTAGTAACTTATAGAAATAAGATTCGTTAATGTATTTTATAGATCTGTAACTATAATTGTTAGAGACTTGGTGTTAATCTCAGATACCTTAAATTTTAATAAATATTGCTACTTTGACTTGAAAACTTACAGATCCTGAAAAAGAAAAAGCAATAACAGATATTAGGTAATTTTAAGCATAGGGATTGGAATGATCCAAAGTTAATGACTCAAAATTTTTTTAATTAAATTAATTAATAACTTAGATTCTCTAATCATCAATAGCCAACCATTTATAGTGAATTCCATAAATAACTCCATCAAAGCATTTTATACTGAGAGTGAATTCTAAATTGAATTAAAAAAATTAAACTAGTTAAAGTAATTTATGTTATTTTTAAATTATAGTTAGCTACACCTCCAGGAATATCAAATAATTCTGGAATCAGAATCACTTTAGGGATATTTTCAAATGAATCTCTAAATTTAATGTCTTATGTTCTTCCAATGTTATTAAAACAATAGAATCCTTTATTGGTAATTTGGAATGACCTAAATGTGTTTTCATCATATCTAATGAATCCCTTAGCAAATAAAAATAAAGTAATAAATATCATTAATTTAAATATTGCTTTGGATTTTATAAATTAAGAAATATTATTTTTATGGATCATGTTTTTAATAAAAAAATATTAAGAAATGTGAATTTAAGACATCAAATGTCATAGAATTTTATACTTTAAAAACATTTTTTTTATATACATTTCTACTTTGAATAACAATAAAATTATTTTCAACTTTAAGTATGTTCTAAAAGGCCATTATAACAAAAATCAATTATCTCATATAGTCTTCCAAAATTATGTGGTAAAGTGTATTCTTAAAATTTATTTCTATTATTAAGGTAATTTGTTTTTTTTAGTGATATAATTTTCCTTAATTTCTAGTAATTCATTTATGTTTTCTTAATATTTATTTTTGGATAACAAAATTCCTCATATAATGAATAACAAAATTTTTGATTGACTTTTGCTATATTTTTATAAATTTAATTACTAATTGAATAATTAGCATTAAAATCGATGAATTCCTCCAAAGGAATAACCTCTTTAAAGTAATAGTACAAAGCCTTAAAATTGTAAAAAAATTAAGAAATTAATTATCTTCATAATAATTTTTATAATAAAATTTATATTTGTTGCTATAGCTTTACTATAATAACAATCTAGATTAGATAAAAATTATTTAAAAAAACTATCAAGCATTTATCAAATGCTTCAAAAAAATGTGTATAATTAACCTTTTTATAAGTTTTGGATGCCAATTCTAAATGATTAATTTTTTCAAATGTTAATTCTTAAAAAAAATACATAAAATGATTGAAACCGAAATCAAAAATATCTAACAATTTACTTGATGGATAAGAATAATTAATCTTATTAATTTACAGAATTTCATTCAAACTTATTTTGAGAATTAATTAAATTTCTAAAATAACTAGCATAAATATTTGAGTTTTTCTAATACTATTTTTTTCATTTAATAATTAATTTATGAAATTTGAAGCTGACTTTTAATAATTCAATTCACCTTGGATACTATAAGAATTTATTGATGTAATTTGGTTTGAATAAAAATCCTTGAAAAGCTAAAATATTTTCACTTTTAATGGGAATTATCAATTCGAAAAATTATTCTATTCCTCAAAACAATTAAGAGGAGGGGGATGTTGCAATAATATAACCAGGGCCTAACCTTACAGGATAATTACTGCTTAAAAATTACCTTTATAGTTCTCTTAACACTTGATAGATAATTCTAGAATTATTGAATCAAAAGCTCTTTATGTGTAGAATAAATAGGATAAATAATTAGTGATAACTTCCATTTAATGGTTCAATTACAACCAAGAACACTTTAATACACTTTGTTTAGATGAATAATAAGGATCAAAATTGTTAGGGGATATTTAAATATCCTTAGATTTAATATTAAAATCAACCTTAAATTATATCACAACATCTGGATATTTATGCATTGAACTTTTGTCAATATGTAATATGTTAGTAAGAGTATTATTTAGTTATTACAATTGTTTTTAGAAAAAAAAGCTTAATTCAAACTTCAAAGAATGTTTAGAAAATTATTTAGCAGAGTTTGAAAATACTGTTAAATCTAATGTTACTCAATGTTGGGAATTTGGAATAGAATTTGAGCTTGAAATAATGAATACTGCTTTGGCTCACATACCAACATAATTAGAGGGTCCTAGCAATTTAACTTTGGGAATAATCTAATCAATTTTTAAATTTAAAATAAATGATGCACTTATATAATCCATTTTTGAATATGCCAAGGAGATTTTAAAAAGATTTGTAGGTAAAGTAAGAAACCCAATAAAAAAGTATGAAGTTTATTGCACTTTTGAAAGTATGAAATGGAATATCATTATGTAAATAACTCAGAGACGTTAAATTCAAAATATTAAAATTGAATTATAAAATCTTTACATTTAATTTATAAAACATTCATAAGATTGGATACTACATTATTGTTGGATTAAGATGATTACTGATTTTTTAACTTATAGACCTATTGTAGATATTAATATATTATTATAAGATATAAGAAATCCTTTTGAGAGAAGGAAAAAATGGAAAGATCTAATCAAAAATTAATGTATTGAACAATTACCATACAATATCAACTTAGCTAAATGTATTTGTTTTCCCAACAAATCAAATGTTTTTTCAAGAAATTTATTTTTAAGAGAATACCCAGAAATTGGTCTAACAGAACTTTCGGAATTTTAATAATATTTGATGAAATTAGACAAATAATCAGATTAATAATTTTGGTAGTTTTATATTATTTATAATAAAGAAAAGGAAAATTAAAAGGATAATGAATTAAATTAAATAAATTAATAAATTTAACAGTTGTTCAACTTTATTCCAATATTTTAATAATTCCTTGATTATTTTAAGAGTTTGCTTGAAAAAAATCAAAGTATCATTGAAAAAATGAATAAATTAATCCAAAATCTTAAAAATGAATAGAATGATGCTGACACTAACTATAAATCTGAAATTTTAGATTAAAACTCAAAAATTCAGATTAATACAATCGAAATGATCTATGTTATCAATGAAATTAATCTCCATATTATTTTGATGACTTACAAATTATCATTTATTACAAATTCCCTTAAAATGGAAAATAGATCAGTATTTAGTGATATTGTTGATAATATTAAAAATTAATATTAAATGTAATTTTTGACTCAGCTGAATTTATTACCAAAAAATCTAATGGAATTTTTTAAAAATAAATTTTTTTGGCAAGATGCACTAAATAATGATTTCAATAGAAATTCTATTTAGAATCCTTTCGATAATATTCTTAATTATCCCTTTGAACAATTAAGAATACATTCAGAAAATATATTAGAAAAAGTAACAGAATATAAAACAATATTTGAAGACCAAGTTTATCCAAAATATGAATTTATATCATTAATCTAATTTCAGAATATGTTTACATCTTAGGTTGAACACTTTTTTAGTTTGTTTCTGGGTGAAATAACAAACAACATTAGGATAATTATAAATATTTCTCATGATATTTAAAATGATAAAAAATCATAGTATCTGTATTAATCAATACATGTTTTCCTTAAAATATCTAGACATCTACTCAATATTACAAAAGTCAGGTTTTATAAAAATTAACCATTTTAAATTATTGAAGCATTGTCAAGCAGAAGACAAGGTACTGTGGAAGATGAAATCTAATATTCAAGTGATGAGATTATGATTCTGGTTTAAAAATAAAAAGAATAAATATAAAAAATTTTGAAAGAAGATTCTTAAGAATAAAAAGATCTTTCATTATCTGTACTAACTGATTTGGTTAAAAGAAACATTAATGAAATTAAGAATATGAAAATCAAAAATAGTTTATATCAGAAGAATATATTAAAATAAATGACGCTTATACTTTTAAAATTAATGAAATTAGTTGATTTTTGTGATAATTAATTTCAAACATAAATAGAAATTATCTATGCGGCTCACTAAGAAATTTTTGAAATGATCAACCAGTAAAATCATCTTGATTAATAAAGCGAAGGATTAAAAGTTAAGGATACTTAGCATTAATAATTAAATTAAGAAATTTTATCTAATAATATTAGCAACTTAGAAAAAAAGTTAAGTAATTTTTTGAGGTTGATAGAATCTTTTTTAGATTCTCTTGAGCTAAAGTTTGATATTGAATTTGATTTAGATTTAGAGAATCATGCAGCATAAACAAGACAAGAAATAAAAGAACAAATATGGTAAAGTCTCTCATACTTCGAATAAAATAAAATAGAAGTTGATAAAAATCTGAAGGAATTCTTCTAAAAATTTGCAGCTAATTATGATACTGAAATCCCTTACATAGATATTTATTAATTTTTAGATATTCTATAAATTTTTGATTTCAAAGATTCTCATCTTTACTAATAATCTTCAGATTTATCTAATGATGATTAAGCTTATATAAACTTTGTGTAATGCTATAAAAATTTGAGTTAAGTTGAGTTTGATCCATTAATCTAATAACAAGAAGAATAGAAAATTAAGCAATGTCTCTGCTTTCATTTAATTAAAATTAGCAGCATAATATTGGAAGAACATTTACAAATTTTTTCCAAAAAGTTAATTATCACTATCTGGATCAAAGAGAAGGATCAAAGAGTTAAACAATTGCTATAAAATGAGGAGCTGATTGAGATATAAAATTAATTATATTCTCGTAACTTGGAGTCTTTCTAAAAAGAAATTGAATTAAATGTAAAAACAAGACTTTAAGATTTTGATGAGTATCATAATCAAATATTATAAGAAGATGATGATGAAAAAAAATAACAGTTAAAAATAAAACTTTAAGATATAGAAACAGATTTAGACTAATATCTATTGAATATAAGTGATATGTAAGCTAAATTATAAATTAATATTACTACATTAATAGAATTAAGAAGAGAATTGAATAATGTTAAATAAAATCTATTAAAATTGGAATAAAAATTGGATGATACAAATCTAAGAATAGCTAGATTGACAGGGAAAAAATTTGAAGAATTACTTGAAATTAGAAGAAAAAATTATTTAGATAGGATGAATAAAAATTAGCTAGAATAAATTTATGTTGAACAACATTTTCGTTTAGATAAAAATTATTAAGAACAGGATTCTAAATATGATATACCTGATCTTATAAGATATTTTTTAAAAGAACAGCGTTCTTAAGTGATGTTAATATATGGAAGCTCAGGAGTAGGAAAAACTACAGCTATGAATAAGATTGAGAAATTTATTTGGTAGAATTAGTAGTACTTAGGAAGATAATAAAAAATAATTCCAATTAGTACTTCATTAGCTTATTTACAAATGCCTACAATAAATTTATTTAAAGAAATTTTGATGTAAGATAAATATGGATTTAATGAAAATTAAATTACAGAATTTAAAGAATCTCTCATTCAAAATGATTATTAAGTTCTATTTTTATTAGATTCATATGATGAGATGTCAATGGAATTTAAGTACTAAAATTTATATATCACAAACAGATTTTTTGAAATTAAGAGCATTAAATTAATAATATTTTGTCAAAAAGAGTTCATAAAATAATAATATTTAGTTTAAAAATATTAAAATTTGAATGGATCATAATATTAAACATGGTTTAACTTTAATAATAAATTAGTTGAGGCTGAGTTATTGGAATTAAATAAAAAAAAAATAAGAGATTTTTTATAACAATACACTAAATTAAGTGTTTTAAAAGAGATTTAAAATTTCTAAAACTAAATTGTTAAATAATTTTAATATAAATAGAATTAATTTTTTGAAAGTGAAAATGATTGGAACAATATAAAATCAATTATCGATGAAAGTCGAAACTAATCTGAATAATCGCTCCTAAATTACAATCAATTAGATAAAATAATCAATTATTTAAAATAAAAAAACAAATCTTTGAACTAAAACCAAGTTTAAATTTATTAAATACCAATTCTTCGTGAAAACCTTTAAAGGTTATGGAGTTTTAAAAAATATCAATTATTTACTAAGAATTTGCAAATAAACGAATTAATGAAAATTCCATATCTACTTACATTAATTGTTGATGTACTTCCAAAATTAGATAAAAATTACTCTGAAAAATAACAAAATTTTATTTAAAATTACCGTGAGGTCAAATAAAATTCGATTCTTTCAAATAAGATCTTATCTAGAGTTAATTCTCCTCATAACCAAAAGTTCACTGATTAATAAGGTTGGAAACAATTTTTATAAAGTTGTCATTCTGAAATAAAATCAGAAATAGAAAAGAATATAAAAAATTTTCATTAGAAAGGATTATTTACAAAAGCGTTTAATAATAGTTCAACTGACAATGATTTAAATTTGAGTACAAGATCATTAAATGTTGACTTTTAAGATCTTTAATTAATTCACAAAGCACTTAAATAAAATTAAATTACTATTTATGATTTTCTTGATAGATTTAGTTAAGAATATTTAGAAAAACATACTTTGAACTTAAAATTCAAAGGAAAAATCTAAGATGAAGAAAATTTCAAATAAGATGTGTATACATTTGCTGAGTCTTTTTCTTTAGAAATGATATCAAATTAAGATTTATCCGTACAATATAAACCATAAGGATAACTTTAGTTATTTAAAAAATTTTCCACCTTTAATGAAGAAAATTGCTATAATAAATATTTTGATGATAAAGATATTAATAAAGAGTATTTTTCTTTGATTAGAAGTGCACTGTTAATAATTTAGAGAGGCGATAGTTTTTCTTTTTGTCATGAAAAATCTCCTAATTCTATGCCGCAAAGGCTTTATATAATTTAGTAAATAAATGTAAATTAGAAAATGATGATTGTATTAATTTTTTTTAGGGGGAAGAAAATATTTATTTTAAGAAAAAATAAATTGAAATATTAAAATAATCCTGGTTAAATTAAGAAAAGTTTAATTTATCTTAAATACAATATAAATAAGTACTCTAAATTCTAAAAGAGAAATTAATAAATAAGAAATCATTTAAGAAAAAGCTTATCTTACTTATTCAAATTTCAGCTCAATACGATATGATTCAAGTTGCTTCAAATATCATTAGTGTTCTTGGTTTTATAACTAAAGACTTAACTAATATACCTTTATAAGGAATAAGATTACAAAACACAAGTTTAATAGGTATTGATTTTTCCAATTCTGATTTGAGTAAGTCAATATTTTATAATGTAAATATTAGTGATTGTAATTTTACTGGATCAAAATTAAATAATGCTGAATGGTAAAACATCATAAATTATAACATTTAAAGAGAAATCAAAAATTGTCATTCTGTGTTTTAATTCTACAAAAAAAATCAAATGGTTATATATTCAACTGGTAAAAAGTTTATGCAATTGGGATTAGAGAATGGTTAATAGCCATTAGAAATATTTGAACCTTATTAAAATTTGAATTGCTATGATATTTCTAATGATGGATAGAATATAGCATATACATTAATAGATAGTTGTGAAATCTAAATCTGGAATATTCCCGAAAAAAGGAACATAATGTTTTTCAAAGAACATGTAAATAATGTATACATATTGTCCTTTTCAAAATAAAACAGTTTTTTAGCTTCAGGAGGCAATGATAATAAAATAATTATTTGGAATTGGTAAAAATAATCAATCATCACAGAAATTGATATCATAGGTAAAAAATTAAAAAATCTTGTTTTTTCTTATAACAACGATTATATTGCTTTACACTTTACTACAGAATTCATTCAATTAAATAGTGGAGACAAATGGACACCCTTAAAGGTTGTTAATAATATATAAGAGAAAATAACTGTATTTGCATTTTCTTTTGACTAAATGATGGCTACAGTATCATTAACAGATAATAAATCTTAAATTATTTGGTTATTCAATTTAAAATAAAAAGAGAAAGAAAGAAAACTTAAAGGACATTAAAATAAGATCAATTACTTGCTTTTTCTATCAGATAAAAGATCTTTAATTTCTGGTGGGGATGATTTTTTCATCATGCTATGGAATTATCAAACTGGTGAATTTAAAGGAAGAGTTTAATAATATACACACAAGATTCAATTCCTGAATATATCGAAGAATAATAGAATTTTGGGATACTACAATGAAAAAAAATCAATATCATTTATAGATCTTGATGCATTTCAATCTGTCCATTAATTAAAGCATCCTTCGAAAGAAATAAGTTAGATTCTTTTTTCGAAAGATGGCTTAATATTAGTTTCTTGTAATTAAAGCAAAAATATTACATTATGGGATATGAAAGGAGGAAAATAAATGAAGAAAATTAAAGAGAAGCATGATAATAAAGTGTTATAAATAGCTTTTACTCAAAATGGAAAATTTTTAGCTTATGCAGTTAAAAAGGAGATAATACTATTGAAAAATTTTTAAGATGATTCTTCAAGAGAAAATCGATGGGAAACTAAAGAAACAATTAAAAAGATAAAATTTTCGAAAGATGACAAATATCTTGCATATTTATGTGAGGAAGATGACTCAGAAATAACCCTTATTCCTTTAGAAGGAAATTTAGATAAGAAAATTTTTTAAAATAAAAATAACCAATAAAAAATAAAAATTCTAGATTTCTGTTTTGCATCTGATTCTTAGATTTTTATATATGCTGAAAAATCTATTTTTAGTTGGAATTATATTGATGAAAGATAAAACCCTTTATTTGATTTAGATTCAGTAATTAAATGTTTTGCATTTTCTTCATTTGGTCGTTATTTTGCTTCTTTAGATGATACTAATACTATAAAGTATTATGATTTAAGAACTAGGAATATAGAATAAATAAAATAAAAATTCCTTGATGTAAATTGTATTGCTTTTTCTACACATGAAGATGTCACACATTTAGCAATAGGAATGAAAAGATAAATATAAATTTATAATTTTTAATAAGAAGTTTTGAAGTTTAATATGAGACTTGATCATCATTTAGATATTGAAATACTATAATTTTCACCTAATGGTTTTCTCCTAGCCTCTGTATTTAAAGATAAAACAATTAAAATATTTGATATTTATTTAGAATAATTGATATTTACTTTGCCTAATTTAACTAACCTTTAATTAATAAATTCTGAAAATCCCAATATTATGAATTTTCTTAATGAAAAATTACCTTAAAAATGAATAAATTTTGTTTTTTTAATCATTTTTTAAATAAATAAATATATTTCATTTTAAACCCATAAAATATCGTTTATCTAAATATTATTACTCTTATCAAAATTTTATAGTTGTTATTCTTATTACATATGTTTTAGTTTGATAAATAGAAGTTTAATGGAAGTAAAATTTCATTTCTATTTGATATTTAATTTTTAGCTTTATAAGGTTATTAATTTAAAGGGATTGTATCATTTTTGAGTTAAAGCTAGCAATCAAATTACTTTTTTAAGGAATACTCCTATCAAAAATAATGAAGATTTTACTTTTATTACAATATAAATATAAGGAGAAGAATTAATCTAATTTAGAAATCATATAATGCCTGTTTAAATATAAGACTGAATTAAAATTAAGGTGTTTAAAGATGCTTGGATTTGATTAAAAATAATTCAATTTCTTTTTGATATATATCTAAATTTTTTAATATGATTTGTAGAGAAGGATAACATTAAATATGCTTGAAAGAAGATTAATGAAGGAATTCCTAACAAAACTTTATTTTTCCTATGGGTTAAGTTAAACAATAAGGTTATTGGTGATGTATAGTAACAGTATGTTTTAAAACTTTAGTTATCACTCAATCTATTTTGGTTGTAATTAAGGAGAAAAATAAAATTAAAATTTTACTTTTTGTTTCTTTTAAAAAGGAATGATATGATAGAAGGGAAATAAAAGATTTTAATTGTTAAATATTGTTTTTAAGATGATTTGATAAAATGTTAATATTTTAATTTTAAAGTTTAGGAATTTACCCTCGACCAAGCAGTAAAGTATATCTTTTACTTTTATGTTTTTAAAATGTATAGCTTATTATTAAGAGTACTTATTAGCTATTTAATTTTATCTTTATAATTTATTATTTTTATTTACAATATATATAGATAATCATGCTGACTTAGTTTCAACAAAATTATTTTACTCTGTTCAATAAATATACATTATTTTTGAATTAATATTTAATTTCTATTCATTAATAACAATAGAACTAATTCAAATTATTTTATATATTTATCCATATCCTATCCATTTTTAAATATTCTTCCTCCACTAAAATTTCATTATTAATACACATACATATTTAATATTATTATAAAATTTTAATATAATCTTTTTAGTATTCTGTTAATTGAAATTTATATGATATATTTGATTTGATATTTGTTTCATTCATTTAGTCTTAATTTATGTAGTTTTATTTGTAATTTTAGAAATTTAATTGATTTATAATTAGTTTAATTATAAAAAGAGCAGATGCTAATTAATTGATTGATTGATAGAAAATTAATCAAAAAGATAATACTAGATAAGTATTTCATTACTATTTTTGCATAATAAAATCAAAAATAATTTATTATTAAATCATAAAAAAAAATATAATAGAAAATATAATCATTAAAAGAAACGTCTGTTTAATTACAAAAATAGTATAAATACATCTTTACATCAACATTTTCGAATTGTATGATTAATTTTTTAATGGCTCTATATTACTTTTAATAAATTTTATCTGTATTTGAAAAAACTTGAGTAAATAATAAATAGTATTAGATAATTTTAGTCTATTCATTTTTTTAACATAATTTTAAACTTTAAATCAATACCTGATGTTTCCATATTAATGTAGATCCCAAACATCTAAAGACTTGATTTCTATTTGAAATTTAAATTATCATAATAAATATTAAAGAATTTATGTCTGAAAAACAAAATCAACAAAATCCTAAAAAGGGAGAGCCTTGGAAGCCAAAAGAAAAATTTGATAAGAAAGCTAATAAAAAGAAGTAGGAATAGGAATAAGAATAAGTAGAGGGAAAATAGGAAACTAATAAGCAACAATAATAATAAAATCAATAGCCAATCATCCCATAATAAACAATTGATTAATAATCGAGTTAACCATAATTGCCCATAAATGATAAATAAATTGCTTTAGCAGATGCTTCAAAAGAGCCTAATAAACGAAAAGATTTTCTTTCACATCTTCCAATATTTTAGGATTATACTTCTGTAAGTATAAAAACAGTAAAATAAATTGATGTAAAGATTTTATTGAATTATAGCCTTTTACTTTGCATCATGCTTTTATTGAGCTTTGTATTTAATATTAAAATGGATAATGTATAGGGTCTACTCATAGATGTGTAGAATTTCTTAATGCTTTGAAATAATTTATAAGGGATTATAAGCTATCAAGACAATCAAATTATTTTGCTATGGCATTTTTAGATGAATTAAAGGAAATTTTTAATTTGATGAAAAACTTTAGAACAGTAAATGAAGGAATGAGCACATCATATTTATTTATTAGAGAATGTTTGATGATATTAAGAGATACAAGACTTGATGAAAATGAATCAAAAATTTGGTTATGTAATTAGATTGATCAATTTATTCAATCAAAAATAATTGCAGCATCAGAATTGATTGTTAAAAATGTATTTATATAAAATTAATATTTTATAAGGCTACTTAATTAATATAAGAAGGAACAACAATTTTAGTATATGCTAGATCGTATTTGATTGAGAATTTCATAATAAACTATATTAAGTAAGGAAAGCAATTGACCATTTTTGTAGTAGATAATCCTTAATTTGGAGAAGGATCATAATTAGTAAATCGACTATAATAATAAGGTATATCTTGTTATCAAATATTATTATCTCATGTCAGTTACATTCTGTCAAAAGTAGAAATTAATTAAAATTATTTAGGTTGACAAAATTCTAGTTGGAGCATCATCTATGTTATGTAATGGAGCTTTAGTTTCTAGAGTTGGAACTGCATTATTGGCATGTTTAGCATCAACTCATAAAATACCATTTTTAGTATTTTGTGAAAGTTATAAATTCTCAGAAAAAAGTCAGATTGATTCTTTATCTTGGAATGAAATAGCATAATTATAATAAGGAAATGAAAATCAACAATATACTTCTTTAAGTCTCAGATATGATATAACATAATCTAATTATATAAATATGGTATTAGTGATGATATATTATTTAATAGATAGTAACAGAAGTTGGATTGATACCGGCAACTTCTGTTAAAGCAGTGATAGGAGAATTTAAAAAGTATAATTATGTGGATGCAATCGAAGTTCCAAGAAAAGAATAATGACAATGTGTTATAGGTAGAAATCATATATAAATATATATATATTATATTATTCAATATCTTCTAGGAATATTATAAATTTATATATGTTATAATTAAAGGTTTCAGCTTTACCATAAAATCCACACTTAATTAACTAAATTGAATAATTCATAATAGACTCCAACACTTTGATAAGAAATGTAAGTTCTCTCTCTAAATTAGGGATATTATCGGAAATGTGTAATGCATTTAGATGGCTAATATAAAAAACTCCTACCAATAGAATCACCTTTACTTTTGAGGATAAAAGTATTGAGAAGATTATGTTATTGTACGATAATGTATTTCAAACTGAAAATTAACAAAGGTGAAGTTAATTAAGGCAAAAATTAATTCATTCTTTGGACAAGATTGTAATTATATCTGAGAGATTTTCATGATAATATTTCTCTATTGAAGATATAATATAAGAGTATGTGATATTGAAATTCTTATTTAGAAAAGTTTTATACTCAAGAACTGATATCTTTAATAATTAAGGCTATATTGTTTAGATCTCTATATTATTAAAAAAATCAATTAGTAGCCAGAGGTCTATTATACTTAAATTATTTATGTGGAACAATAATTGAATAAGCTTTGATAGATAAAATAACGGTTTTCTTAAGTTTATAAGGGTAAGATAGTGTTCATATATAAATTAGAAAATATAATTTGATTACTGGAAATAGCTACTTTCAATTGTAAAACTATTCGACTGCTTTAAAATATTATCTTAAAGGACTTGATATATATTAAAGAAATTTGATCATAATTTATAAGGAAATCACTCTTACATCTTTGGAAGAGATTAAGATGACTCTAAATTATTATGTAATTAATAATTATATAAAAAGACTAAAGAAATAATATTGTCTTTGTTTTTAATAGCATTAGTATATGAATAAATGAATGATTTTCTAAAATACCAAGAAACCATAAAAATTATGACTTGGGTAGATTCAAATTATTAACCAGAAAATTCAATTGGGAAATTATATTTTTAATAATGTATTGATAATACCAGATACATTTAATATGCACTTGAGAAAGCTGAAATCTCAAAAGTATTGAAATAAGCTTTACCAGAAGAGGAGACATCTAAAGTACCAGGAGAGGAAGATTAATTAAATTATTACACTAATTTACTTTATGAATTCAGTGAATTTCCAAAAATAAGAAAACAATATTTTTATTACGATAAATCATAACTACCTTATACTTCAGAAATAGCAGAGAGTGATACTTAATTAGAAAAATCAAGGGCATTTAAAACTAATGCTAGTGTTTAGATGGTCTATAAATCATAACCAAATGAAAATGAATCAACTACATTATGTAGGTCTGCTCTAATGAAAACTAAAAATTCAGACAATGGATTATCAACAAGATTTTAAACAGAATCAGAAGGATTCTCATAAACTATGATTCATATATAAAAGTAAAAGAAATTGAAAAAATAAGTTAATAAAGAAGATGTCACATTATAAGTGTATTATGGCAAGGCAATTGAGAAGTCAGTTAAATTATAAGAATTAGAAAGTTTAGCTGAATAACACAATTAAGATTTAGTTTAATAATAGATTGACACACTTTCTTTTGATAAAAAATTGAAGTTATCAAAATAATAGATTTGTAAATATGTTTATTATTTTAAAGAATTTAAGAAAATATTTGGTTGTATTGATTTGAAGTAAGGTCCCTTTGAAATTGAAACAAGAGAATCAAGAAAGAGACAATAAAAGTAATAAGCTAAAAACATCAATTAATTATAATCATTATTAAGCATACAAATTTAGATTAAAACAAAGACTGAATAATCTTAATTGTTAGAGCAATACAATAAATAAAGAAAAGGAAACTTTTAATCGGCACCTAATATATTTTAGCAATTGCATAACAAACATAGATAAAATAAAGATATAAGAGTGTAGGAAAAATCAATAATCACTAATAAAGAATTTAGTAAAGATATAGGAAGTCATCATAAAACCTAAGATGAAGAACAATTAATTAGATAGATAAATATTAATACAAAAGAAACAATTAAATAAATGATGGATGAAAAAGAAAGTATAATTTAATCAAAACCATTTTCAACTAGACGATCATCTTAAAATAATAATATTAAGTATGTAGATATATAATTTAGAAATAATATATTATTTGAAAAACTTATCTCAAAGAATGACAATTTAGCACATACAACAGATTAAATTAGTAATTCTAAAAAGGTTAATTCATTGAAATCTTTATTGGAAGTACCTAGAAATAATTAAAATTAAAAGAGAATGACTACAATTTTATCAACTATAACTCCTAGGCCTACTAGTAAAATGAGTTCACATACAATTTTACCTATTTGTTGATTATAAATAATAAAATTAAATTAATATTTAAAATGAATTAAGGCGGATCAAATGATTTATTAACATTGAAAAGAGAGAAGTTTAGAATATAAATTAGACATTAAAAATTAACAGAGGAATTTAAGAAAAAAAGAAGGTTTTATAATTATGAATAAACAAAAAATGATTTTCTACATAAGATTTGTGATGAACTAGCTAAATATTAATTTAAAGAGTAGTTAGTTGAAGAAGACCTTAATAATATTAAGTTATTAATAAAAGTACTCTAAAAAGCCTTAGAGGATGAATAAAATATTGATTATTGGGTGACTGAAAATATAGTAAAAAAAATTAGGTAATATATCATATAATCTCAGATTTTTTATTAATCTATCTAAAGTGGATTCTGAGTTTTAAGAAATAAATGCAACACTTATTCAAAGTGTTTTCTATTATCTAAATAGAGAAGATTATTAAAGATTTGCAGAATTAGATGATATTCAATTATTAGAATATCTTAAGAATAATATTAAAGAAGAGATATTAGAAATATTTCCTTAAGTAAATTTAAAAATCATTTTAGACTTTAAATTGCATTTATTTTCTAGCTTAAGAAAAATAGACATATAGAGATTTTATAATCTAAAATGATTTTGAATTTTTAACATAATTAATGATACTTGATCCTTTTCGACAATTTTCTGAAGTTATCTTAGCCTTGATAGGTTCAGCATTTACTTTTTGTTTGGAAATAAATATTGATAACATAAAATCTATTAAAGAATATGTTATCAAATCCTATTTTGATGAAAGTTAAGCAATAAAAAGATTAGCCTTAGAAATTTTAGAAGAAATTCCTTCAAAATTATCATTTGAGAATAATTGTACATTTGCAGATGAAATCATTTCTTCTCCAATGTTTTTAAAAATTTATGATGCTGCTTTAAAAACTAATTATGATTTTTTGGCTTTAAAAATAGTAATTATTTATTTTGGAATAAGTGATAAATTTTTTGAGAAAGAACTTACTATATATAAAAAAGTAGTAAATTCAAATCTTTAATCATAAGATCTTAATAAAGCATTAAGAATATAATTATTTTGGGCTATTTCAAATAAAATTCATAATAAAGAATTCTTGATTAAATTATTAGATTCAAAATTATTAGAGGAAATTTATGAACAATGTTTTGAATTATCAGATAATGAAGCTCTTGAATTCTCTTATGTTATTTTGAATTTATCGATTTTAGTATAACAATATTTATATTTTTTTAGTCTAATGAAGAATAACTATCAAAATTAATAAAAATAGGATTGTTTAACATATGTAATCATTTTTTTTCAATGGAATCAAGATCTATAAAAATAGAAGAACATACATTGAAAGCATTAATTAATATATTACATAAATTATCAGATTGTTAAGATATTAATAATGAACTTGTATTACCATTCTCGGCTGTTATAAAAATGATTGAAATGACTGGACTTGTTAATAAAGTAAAGGATAGCAAAAGTGATGATAAATTAATCTAAGATTTTGATGTTTATTTTTGATTTTTGTAATTAGATATTTTAAAAGATAAAATTGAATTATTTATTTACAAATAAATTTTTATAACACAGTAAAACTCCTACATTACTAAAATCAATTTAGATGTCAACATGGAATGTTTTCTCTTCTTGCCTATTTTTTGGTTAAACAAAATTTGACTCTTTTTGCAGGAGATTAAGAATTAGTTTATTATTTTGGAGGAGATTAACCAGTGATGTTTAAACTTGAAAAACTAAGCCTACTTTAGAAACTTAATCTGCTTACAATTTCCAATTAAGAGTTTTATAATGATGGATTCTTTAAGATACTTTTTGGTGTAGAGACAGAACTCTATGATCTACCTCTTACTCCATCAAATTCCAATTATAATAAAGATAATTAAGAAGTTCTTTGAGAATTTGCTTATTATGAAATTCTTAGTTTCTAATTTTATTAGTTTTAAATTAATTTAATAGTTGTTTTAGCAATTTTTGCTCTCTCTTTTCTAGTATCTTTATAATGAATTGAATTTTAAGATGGTATTTGCTGAGTATTATTGTAAGATAATTCTAAATATGAATTATAAGTTTCATGTGATCTTTATGAGAATTATGACTATTTTTTAGAAGAGAATTTATTGTTAACAGATGGTGATAAACCATCTTATAATTTAGTAATATCAAATGGTCCATGTGTATGTAATTTTAGATTTTTTCTATAATCAATAGTTGTATTTTGATTTTAGCTTTCTTTCATTTCACCTACAAAGTTAATTTTAGGAACTGTTTCCTTTCTTGAAAACAATGAGGATTAATCTCCATTAGATATTACAGATAATTATTAAATAGGTTAAATTGGCTTTTTAAATGATAATTATTCTTTTTTAGTTTTATTTTCAATAGAGTCTGTTCCTAATTCTTATTATTTCTAATGTTTTATTAATCCTTTTTTAAAACCACAAGAATTATAAATTAGTTTATTCATTTTTTACTCTAAATCTTAAAAATCAGGTTCATTTAATTAGCAATCTTATAATCTAAAATCAATGTCTTCTTTGAAGCATACATTTAGATTGTATACTGATACTGGACGATCTACTTCATCTTCAATAATATCTGAATCAATAATATATTGTTCCGTCATTATTATAAATAATAACATAAAAAGTGATAATAATCAAACAAAACAAAGGAGTTTATTACAAATTCAATCTAATTAAAGCATCCCAATTTATATTAGTTAATAAATTGAGATGCAATAAAGTAACTAGTAATATTTTATAATTTATGAACTCTCTATATATTAATGTAAAATGAATATTATATATATGTAAATTATTTATAAGAATGAAATTTAATATATGAATAAAAAACATAAAAATATAAATATATATTTACAAATCTTCTCATCTAGTTAGATTAAAATATCAATAAAGTTTAGGTTATGGCACAGAGTTGATATGATCAAATTCCTTAAAATTGAATATCTAATCAATAATTCCTTTATTAGCAATAGGAGAACAAGGATTATTAGATGAACTTATTTGAGTACTAGAACTATGAGTTAATGAGCTTTTTTGACTATCTGATAAACTACTTTTAATTGATCCACTTTGAAATATATAAAATATAAATATTTACTTCACTTCTAAAGTCTTAATTGTAATTTTTTTATTTCTAAATTTGTTTTTTAATTATTCATTCTCATATTTGTTAAATATATTATTTTATTTCATCTAACTTTTTATCCATCTACTTAAGTATAATTATTGAATTGTAGGTCTATCATTAGGATCCTTAGTCAATAATGCTTGTATTAGAATTTATAAATCTTCATTAATATTACTATTAACAATCACTTCTTAACTGGTTATTTTGGCAATTAAATCAGGCTAAGAATCTGCTTAAAATGGAAAATGAGTATGCAATAAGATCTAAAAATAATAATATATTCTTTATATATTACATAAATTAATGCTCCAAGTGAATAGCAATCTACTTTATAATCATGATATTATTTTAACACAACCTCTGGTGGCATATATTCGGTAGTTCCACAAAGAATGGGCTCCACTTTATCGATATAAGTAGCCCAACCAAAGTCTCCCAGTTTATATGTTCCATCCTCATGAAGAAAAATATTTTCTAACTATTTTTAGAAGATATAATTATTATATTACTTTCAAATCTCTATGAATTATTTTATTCTAATGCAAACAATCCAGTGCACCTAATATAGATATACAAATGTTAAAAACATCTTTTTCTTAGAATGGAGTCTTTGGAGTTTATAATGAACCACCAGAACAGAATTCAGAAATGATATAAATATTTTGATTGTCTTCGAAAGAATGATATACTTTGAGTATGTTTTTATGATTTAATGTTGATTAGATTTTAATTTCTTATCTAATCATTGATTCTGCATTATATTTATATAACAATCCTTTTGAAATCTATATTTTAATAAAATTTAAATACTATTTTGCAAGCATAATACTTGTTTGTTCTCAGATCTAAGACCTGATATACTGTTCCAAATGAACCACTACCTAATTAAGTTTATAAGGCATAAGTGGATCCATTACTTGACATAATTATGTTGTTCATTAAATAATTTATTTATTAAATCATCTAATAAAAATTATTTCTTTTCTTTTTAATAGAGAAAATAATAGTAATAAATTATTAAATCAAATCATTTCTTTCGCTTATAAACTAATCCTTAAAATTCATAAGGTCGCTTTTCTAAAGAAATTTGTTTTTTTGCTCCAAAGAATGGTGTTTAAAAACTATCATTAAATTTAGTTAACTTATATTAACTAATTTTAAATTCAATTTTATTAAATTCTAATAAATAAATAAGATATTTTACATAATAAACATTTTTTTAATATAGGTAATCTTACATTATTTTACTAGTTATTTTCTTTATTTATAAAATTACATTAATGATCTTCAAAATTCTATTGATGTTAAATTTCAATATCTCCAATATTAACTTTGTAATTATTAAAAGTATCAATATTACATGATTTTAATAAGTCCATTTAACTTAATATTTTCTTCAAAACTAATTAATTCTAATTAAAATACAGTTTGTATAATATGATTTCTTTTTTTAGAGTCAGTTTTTGGTTCTGTGCTTTATCTTCTTTAGTAATTGATATAATTATCATTCTAATTTGTTTCAGTTTAAATAGAATTATATTATACAGATCGTTTTGGTTTTATATAAATCTTCTCATATTTTCTAATTTCATTTTAACAGAGTGATTAATACTCTTAAGGTTTTCTTTATTTTTAAATCTATTTTGGTAAACGATTAGTATATGATTCAAAAAATGATTTACATTTCTATCTGATTTCTTTAACTTCCAAACAATTATTATTATTCATATAAATTATAATATATTATAAGAATATGTAATTATACAAATTATATATTAATTATTTTAATATCATTATTAACATTACAAATAGTTAACAGTGTTATTTTATTAAGCTTATATTAATAGTATTGTGAGATTATTATTAATTTATTATTATTGTTTATTTTCTTCATCAAGTTATTTAATTACATTTTAATTTTATTTTTCCTTATTTTCTCCTTCTACTCTTATTTTCTCTAATCTCTTATGTTATTTAAGGAATGCTTATTTCAATAATATATTTTCACTATCCAATCTTTAAATCTATATTCATAATCAAAATCAATACATTCTATTAATATTTCTCTCCTAATTTTTGTTCAAATACATCAAAAAATAATTAAATCACTTGTTAAGCCAACTAATTGTTTTATGATTATTAAAGTCTTTTTAACATTTCCTCTTTTAAATTATTTTTATAATTGTCAAACTATTATAGATATTTAAACCATACATCTGTATCAAAAATCTCCAACTTCTATGGAACGACTGTCTTTTAACCAAGTATTTCACAGACCATTTCAATATTATTATCAAAATCTTCTAATAATCGTAAAATATCTGATTATTGAATCTAAGGGTATTTCTCTTAAATAATAGCCAAATTTTATCTAAATATTTTCTATTAAATAATATACAATGTAATTCTTTTGCGTGCTTAACATAATGTTTCTAAATTTCTATCTTATGTAATACGTCTTCTTAAAACATATGTAGGATTTTTAATCTAAATTAATAATAATTAATGTTACTTCAATTGATTCATCTTCAAATTACCTTCTCTTCCCAACCAACATGTATCTATGTATTTTAATAATAATAATAAATATTTAATACTACCTTAAATCACATTAATAGAACTTAATAAATTATATTTCATTAATATATAATTCTTGAACAAAAATACTTATATAAATTTCAATCTATAGATGTAAATAATAAAAATTATTTATTTTCTTATCATTATAATATTAATATTTTTTTTTTTTAATCAGAAATGTGCTGCATTACTACTGTCACTTGTTAATTCTGCTCTTAATTGTTTCAATCTTGCTTCCTTCTTTGCCAAAGCAAAATCAAACACTGAAAAGTTATATTTCTCAGCCAAATCAGATATCACCTTATTTCTTTAAACAAAAATTGGCTCAAATAATATTTAAGAAAGGTTATATGAAAATGCAGCTGAAACCAAACCTAAAGGTATTAATATATTTAAATTACCAATTCCCAAAACAAAAATACTATTTAAAATTGGACGACTTGTAATTCTTGAAGTAATTAATTATTATTCCCTTATTGTTGCTAAGGCCAAGAAAATACCACCAAATGAAAATATTCCTGATCTTGCATCTACATCAATAAATTTCTCTTTGATAAATTTCGAATGATCTTCTTTTGAAATCTTCTCTGGTGTCTAGCTTGCAATATAGTAAAATATTAATCTTCTCTTATCTTGTGGTCCAGCTGATTAATAATTTTGATTTCAAATACCAAGCATGATATTATCATGATTTATAAAATAGCCATTAGTAGTTTTATGCAATTAAGGAGACACCAACCAACTCAAACTCATTATAGATATTTGATTGAATAAATATAAATATAAATATAAATTTATTCATAATTTTCTTTATCTTTTTTTTTATTTAATTTTGACCTATGAAATAATACAAATAGTTATATAATATTAAAGGATCTTTGATTCTAATAAATTATTTTATATTTTTATATATTTAAGTGAAAAAAAACTAAAAACAATTGAAAAAAATAATAACTATAAACTTATATGAAATACTATTCATATAAATCTATGTACAATATATAAAAATAATATTTTACATTTAATAATCTTATATTGATAATTTTAATTGAGATTTATATTTTTTAAATAAAAGATATATCTAAGGAGTTTGAATGATGAATAAATAATTAAATTAGATTATTTTAGGATTAGATACATTAGAAAAATTAAATCAATAATTAATGTATTTTTAGTAAATTTTAGTATAGAAAATTGGTTGAACTGATAAATTAGTCACTTAATTAAAGAAATTGAAAAAGTAATTAAAATTTAAATAATGGAAATTAAGACATTAAAAGAATAAGTCAAGGACCAAGAAATTTGTACTGGATATTTTCTTTATATTATTATTATTGGTATTGATTGTTATAATCATTTCATATTCACAGTCACAAGAGGTGATTAATAAATTAATTAAGAGAAGATTTTTTATAAATATCATTATTTGATGTATTAAAATATTTTTTCTTTTATTAATGATACTCAGTTTGAAAGATCATCCGAAGGGGAACGCACGGGCTATTTTTTGTTGTTATACTATTTGTCACGACGGGAAGACTCAGAGCTGGATGAGTGTCTTTTGTGGCCTAATTAGAAGTAAAGTAAGTGAGTTAGTTAAACTTTTAGATTTCTTCTTATGTCTGTCAATGCTTCGACTTCTGGAACGTCTCTTATAGTTACTATCTCTCTTCCTGTACTTATCATTGCCTCCTCTACCTCTGTCTTTATCACGATCATTTGTACTCCTAAAAACTAATTAAATTAACTATTACCTCTTCCTTCCACTTGCATACTCAATCTTCATTGCTTACCCTTTCAACTCACGACCTTGTAAACTAATATATAGATATTTTTCACTCCTTTACCTATTAAAAGCTTCAATAGCTTTTTCTACCTTTTCAAATTCAACAAATGCGTATACATGAGGACCCTTGTCCAACACTTTAATCTCGGTGATTTAACCATACTGTTTAAACAGCTCCTCTAAATCATCCTTTTGAACCTAATGAATTCTAAATAATCCTATTACTTTGTAAGCAAGATTGCCAATCCATAACTTCTTTTTAGGTTCGGACATTAAGAAAAATGTAATTTATATTAATTTTTAATATTCATCATTCAAAAAAATGGCTTTAATACCTCAAGATTTTAATACCCTCCTATAATAAATAAAATATATATATATAAATATATATTTGAAAATATTTAAAATATTTTTCTTTTATTATCTCAAATCATTCTTTTCCGTTATAACTAAGTATCTATTTCTATCCTCATTCATATTGTTAATATGTACTGTATCTATATTCATAATATATAAGAGAAATTAATGATAAATTAAAATATAAAGATTCATCATAATTTATTTATAATATAATTATGTATGAATATTTATTATTACTATAAACCAAAAAAGTAGAAATCCATTATTCAAATCATATCAATTCACATATATTCATGTTATTCTATGATTTCATTATGATTCCCTAACATTAGAGAATTGTTATTCATTTTCATTATGAATATCTATATATACTAACTCATGTATAAATATTTACAAGAATATCTAGTGATTCACAATTCTAGATGATCATCAAATCTCTTTTTCACAATTACAAACATTGAATCTATGGTGGAAATGAAATTAATATTATAATTTATGAGTTTACCATTTATAAATTAAGCTATTCAAACTATATAACAGTTTCCTATTACCTAACAAACAAATGAACTTAGATTAATTTATCAAACATGTTAATAATCATCAAAGTAGTTGGGAAAATTTAAGATCGACAATACATTTTGGAATCAGGACATTACTAAAGTAGAAATAGAAATCTCTAAAATATTACATGAATTTGGTTATCGTGTTAAACCTAATCCCATTCATTAATTTAACTTTGATGCATTCCTATCGAAAAAGGCTCGTCTTAATATTACAACTGAAGATTATAGAGAAGCTTTGCTATAGTTTTATGAAAACTTATAAGCAAATTTATGGATTAGGAGAAAATATCTATTGAGATAAAGAATAGCTTTATTACATAATCCAACTGAAGATGTTCTATTCTATGATCCATTAGTTAAAGTTAAATCAGATGTTATTCCAATAGAAATGTATTCAACAGTGAATTTAGAGAGAATACATCCTGATGAAAATAAGACTTTAGTTGATGAAGAAATAAAAATGATTGATGAAAAGCTTATAGAATATGCAGAAATAAGTGAAAAACTATCAAATGAAAGAATTTTTGATCCTTCAAGATTTGATTAAGATATACCATAAATACAAATATCAACTGATGATGATCTTATCTTTGAGAGAATGAATAATAAGATATATTAGAGTATGCCATTTATTACTTAGAAACATTTAAAAGAGTATTACAATTTTAAATAAAATCAAATGGTCAATAAATTAGATGATTTAGATACTCAAATATATATTGAAAGTTTAGAATCAACAACTTAAGATAGTACTATAACTGAATATTGTAATATGTATTTGATTCCTGTAACTATGCCTTAATTATAATAAGAATTGCAATAATTAGCATAAGAATAGGGAGTAGATTAAGATATTACTGTTGATAATGGTGCTTTATTTTTGTTTGCTATTGATAAACATTTCATTCAAAAGATTTAAGAATAAAGTAATAAATATTTACTTTTCCTTCCATACAATTTAGATTAGTCTGAATAAAAAACTAAGAGTTTTTAATAATAAACTATGAATATATTAAATGAATTGAAAGAGGATAAAATAAGAAAGAATTAATATAGAATCAGAAGTAGTGCTCATTGGTTAGATAATATTTAAATTATACAAGAAAAGGAAGATACTGAAATGAATTTAATATTTAATTAATACGAAGATAGTTCTATAAATTCTTGGATGAAATTCTTGTTATATCATGAATCTGATAAGATATAGGATAAAATCAATAAGGATGTTTCTTTAGTTTAAGAGAAAGTGTAATCTACTCATTTTCCAGAGATTTATTTTTAATTTTTCTTAAGATATTAGAAATTATTATATTTAGAGTCAAGAGAGTCTTTAATTTAGATTATGCATTGTTATAATGTAATGAGAACAATGTAGAAGAATTTAAATATATATTTTATTGATTTGCATCAATTATCTAGTTAATTGACAAAAGAGAGAATACAGAAGAAATAATAAAATACATTGAATGCATTTATAACAAGTTTAGATTCTAAAGAAACAATACCTTAGGAAGATACTTCTGCATATTTTTGTGAAGAAAAGATATAGAGAAATCATAATCTTTATGAAGTAGTAGATGGAAATGGTCATAAAATAATACATGAAATAGTATTTAAAGATGTAGCTTAATTGTTAGATAAGATAAGTCATATAAGTGCATTTACATTATAATTTACTAATAAAATTGGGGAAAAAAATAGTCATTCAGATTCTTAATAATTAAATAGATTTTTAGCAGTGAAAGATTTATTATAAGCTGAATTAGATTATAATAATGCTAAATGTAAAATATTATAAATTGTATATCCTTTATTATCTAAAGCAAGAGTATCAGAATTGACTAATGCTATTAGTATTCTAGCTAGATTAATTCATTAATAACCATAATTTAGATATGATTAGAATGTACTTATTCATTATTCAGAAGCTACAAAGAGATTGAATTTATTAAGTGATATTTTCATTAATACAAAATCTTTGAAATTAATTTTGAAATTATTCTCTATTAAAGATATTAATATTTTGGAATAAACTTTGAAATATATTAAAAGAGATAGACTTATAGATAAAGAATTTCCATATAAATCATTTTATAAAGATACTATTTTAGATTGTTAAAATAATTTATCATAAATTTTAAAATAATTACCAGAAGATGGAAATTTTAATATATTTTCACTTTTAGAATTTTTATTATTGAGAAGGAAATTTTATAAGTTATCCTTAAGAATTTATTATCTTAGTAATTTATATGGATAATAAATAAAAGAGAGAGGTTTGATTAATAAAATGATATAAAAATTAGAATTAATTCCAAATAGAGTTATTGATGAAAAAAACTTTGATGTTTTCTCAATAGTTATGGATGAATATTTAAAAATTGGAAAAGAATGTTAATAAATAGAATTATGGACAACTTTTGCTTCAGATAATTATAAAATGATAGATATGCTAATGCCTCTTAAATCCTTATTATTATTAGATTTCTATTTATTCAATGCAATAAAAATAAATAGAAAATAAACACATCATTTTGTAGATATTATTGGATTAAAAGAAAGATTAGCATTATAAGCTTAAACAATTTAGAGGAAAGCCAATATTATGTAGAGTAGTACAGCAGCAACTGATTAAAATAATTAAGATAAATTAAAATAGACAGCTATTAGTATGATCTCTACTTAATTTAGAGGTTCATTATTAGTTAAAAATTTTGTTAATAAAATATAATAGAATTAATCAACTGCTTTATAAGAATTTAATAAATTATTAACTTAATAATGTCAATCATTAGTATTCACATTATAAGCCTTAGTATAAAGAGAATAAATGATTTAATTAAATTAATAATTACCATTTGTAAAACCTTTATTTACAGAAGAGCCATTTTTAAATGAAATGCAATAAATCTAAAATCCTTTTATAATTCATAGTATTCCTTCGATTATGAATATAATTAATTTTAAAGATTTTGACAATAAATCATCAAATCCTGAAGTTGATAATTTGGGAGATGAAGATTGGATAACAACAACTCGATTAAAATTAGAGAAAAATGTTAGTCCTTTGTCTGCTAATAGAAAACAACCTAAATTTAAAAGTTCTGGAAATCCATTTTCAAATAATACTAAATTTTAGGAACCTATATCTGGATCATAATAATTAGCTTTATAATTAGTACAATTATTAATTGGTGTATAATCATGTAATTGTAATGTTTAAGATCTTATTTATTTACATTAAGGTATGTTAGGAATGGAAGAATTGAAACGTAATTAATTGAGATTAAGAAGAGATTTAGAAAGTGTCTATTAGTAGGTTTAAAAGTATAAGGATAATATTTCTAAAATTTTATCAAGTGGAAATATTTAGAATATGAATTTAACTATTATGACATATTTAGAGAAGTTAATAAAAAGATTTCATTTATTAATTATTATAACTATGATATCATCAGTACATCAATTCAGAAAATAAATTTAAGATAATAGTGAAATTTATCCATAAATAATATCTACATTAAGAAATGCATTGATTACTGGTTGTTTTAGAAATATGAGTCATGTTGAAAGATTAATGGATTAAGCACCAAAAGTTTATCCTTCAATATAAACCAAAAAAATTATAAGTGATAAAATGATGTTATTGAAATATGCATTTGGTTCTTAATTTGTATAAGCTCATTAAACAAATCCAAATAATGTACATATGCCATTAAAGGAATTTTAATTTGAAGATTTTTATACATAATTATCACCTTATATGATTCCATCTTAATAAATATTATTTAGAACTTAGAAAATCAATTATAATATTGAAACTTTCTTATCATCTGTTATTGATCTATTTCCTAATGCAATGGCAAATTTATTTACTCTATTTCCTTAATCAAAATTGATATATTATTCAACAATATAAGATTTAATAATTTCAGAATCAGAATCAATATTAAGAGATAAATGCATTTTTGAAGTAGATGATCTATTTAAATTTGAAAGAGCATATAGAAAACTTTTAGTGTTATAATTTCGTTATTTAGTATTATCAGAATTTTTTACTGTATAAAAAAGATAAATATTACCTTTTTCTTCAGATACTAATGATCCATGTACTTAATGGCTTGAGAATTGTGTAGAGTTATGTGATAAAAATATGCATAAATAATAATTGAAAGCTGGACTATTATTAAATGCACTTCCTGGTGTTAATAAATAAGTTAATGAACTTAAAAAAGGATCTAAAACAACAAGAATGAATTATGAACCATCATAAGAGAAGTTTTCAATTTTACCTAGATTAAGATTAGAGAGTTTTGAAAATTAAGTATTTTAATTAATTTCAATGATGATTGGATGTTAGGCTATATTTTAAGAGGAAGGGAAATAATATTATTAATAATTAAACAATTAATTAAATAAAATGGATTAACCTTATTAAGTGGCTAAATAATTAAATGTGTTTTATAGTAATTTAGAAAGAGATTCATTAAAAATAATGACATTGAATAAAGGTTATGCACATGTTATAGCTGATAATGATTTAGATAAGCATTTAAATGATTTTAATAGAAGAATGTTGGATTTTAATAAAGCAAATTATCCAAATCATGTAATTATTGAAAATGAATCATTATAAAGAATGTACAATTAAAAATCAATAGAATTAAGATTTGCAATGAAAAAGATTAAATTTTATGAATCAAATATAAATCATATAGTAGAAAGTTTGGTTGCATAAAGGACAAATGATTTAATATTTGAAAATGATGCATTAAAATAATAAATAGAATAGATGATGAAAAGTTTTGATATAGAGAAATAGAAACAAAGAGACAAGATTAAAGAAGAATTTTCTGAGTAAATTCGTACTTAAGATGTATTAATATAATAAATGTAAAATCGATTTTAAGATTATAAGAGAGGAATTTCAATGGAAATGACAAATTTTATATAAGAATATAAAACAGATGGATTAAAAAGAGTTAGAGATAAAGCATCTGAAGCATTATTTGGTTAGGTTAATAAATTGAATATAGATTTAGATGTAGAATATTAAAGAGTAGGAGTTTATGATAAATTTAAAGAAGATAGTGAATAAATAAATTCTTTATTTTCATCTTTAAAAAAATTAAGAACATTTTATTTATGGAAAGAGATGTGTATAAGAGAAAGATTTGAGAAATAAATATAAATAATAGTAGCAGCAAATTCAAGCAATGAAGAATTATAATAAAAGATTTAATAATTAACAGAGAATGTTGAAATATTGAAGGATGAATTAATATAAAATAGAAAGATTATAACAATAATGGATAATTAAAATTAAATTTTAAGAAGAGATCTTTAAAAATTAAAGATTGAAAGATTTTAAGCTATGAGAGAGAAAGGATAATTGGGAGCAATAGCTACTTATTAAGATTAAGAATAATAATTAGAAGAATAAAGAAAATAAGTTATAGAAGCAAAAAAAGAATAATAATTTAAAAATTCTAGACCTATTACTGCTTCATCTATAACAAGATCAATAAAATCAGCATAGAAAGTATAAAAATTATCAACCACTTAAAGTGTGCCAAAATTAGGAACATCTTAAATGATGTCAAATTAAAAGGGAACATTAACAATGAAATATAAAATTACATCTTGATTTTTATTATATATATATATATATTTATATATAAAATTAAGTGTTTATATGTTAAGATTAGCCACTTAGGCAATTAAAAATATGGTGCAAATTGTACCAATTATTAGACCTATACAATTTTGTTAGAAACCAATATAATTCTTTGGATTAGCTAGATTATTTAAATAAACTCGTATAAGTGGATAGGCTAGATCTAAAACAAAATCTTCAAGTTCAAGTTGGAAATCAAGAATCAGAACTCAAAATAGATTATATAAGATTGGAAATCATAAAGGATTAATGAAAAGAGTTAAAATTGTTGGTCCAAGGAGAGCTAGAAGACTTAAATTCAAATCTCCTGGATCTAGGCATCTTAATCGAAATTGTTCAAAAGCTAATTTAAGAAGAAAAAGACGAACTAGATATATAAGTGATGTTGATATGCCAAGAATGAGAAAGCTGTTACCATTAATGAAGAGATAGAAATGTAAAAGAGGATCTTGAGTATATAAAAAAGAAGAGAGAAACAAAAATATTTTATTTCAAATATATTATTTAAATAATATGATAAGAGGATTAAGAATGTTGTAGATGAGACCAATCTTTTATTTTGCTGCTGATAAGACTCCAGCACCAACTTAAGGCAAACAATAATAAGCAAAACCAATTCAAGTCTATAAAGATGGATAATTAATAACTAAGAATTATCTTTAATTGAAAAAGTCTTAAGATATTGAAGGATATGTTCTAACATTAGTCAAGAATTATTACAGAACAACAAATAAGGTAATTAATTATAATAATATTCAGTAAGCTTTAACTTTAGATTCTGAATTAGAATAACATGGATTAGATAGTTTGGATTCTATTGAATTATCTATGCAAGTAAATAAATAATAATAAATTAGATTGAAGAAGACTTAGGATATGTTATTTCAGCTGAAACCTTACCAGTCTTGAATAAGGTTAGACATTATGTTAATTATATTAAATAAGTTGAGCAATATAAAGTAGAAAACAATGCTGCTCCATTGGCATGATTAATATCATATGCATATTCAGTATTAATAACAAAATAATAATTTTCGTTTATTAATTAACATGCTTATTAATTAAATGATATATGGAAGTATCAATATGTAAATTACAATCATATTCTGACTAAATTAACATTCATAATTATTTTATTATATAAATTAATAAATAATTTTAATTGACATTTCTTATTATTTAAGAAAATATACTAGAAATTCAGATATTTATTGTTATTTTCATAATTAAATCTGATGCCATATATATTTATGAAATTATATTATGTAAAATGATTTCACATTAATAATTAGCTATTCCCAAATAAATAGTTGATATTAGAGACTGATAATTTTAATAATAAATTATGGACAAAGCTTCATATTTATCAACATCAATTTATACTTAGTTATTTGAGATTAATTATATAATAAATTAGATAAGATAATATGAATTTTCATAGAATCTCAATCAATAAAACATAAAGATTGAACTTCTATTGTGCTAATTCATTTAAAATAATTATATATACTAATAGAAGTATTAAAATTATTTGTTGAAAATTTCAATAAGCAACTTTTTTATATATTTACAAATTCAAATTACTAAAATAGTTCACCTTATTTATAAGGAATATTAAAGTTATACAAATGATTAGTAAAAGAAGGGAAATAATATTGTCATAATCAATTCAAACTTCATTTTCATTTTAATTATGAATTATTAATAATCATATTTACAATTCGGCTACTGTGAATACATTCATTTTTAGTTAACAATAAAGGAATATTGTAATATAATAATAATAATTGATTGAATTAGTAATTCATAATTATGTTATCAACAATAAATATTTTTAAATTGAGGGTTTGCTTAATTTAACCGAAAGATCTTTGACTAATTACATGCACAAATGATGAGAGTTTATTGTAATTAATTGAGGTAAAGTTTGCATTATTTTAGAATGATATCTTAGACAATAATTTTAAATTAAAACTTCTTAATGTTTTTATTAGTAAATTTCTATTATTACAAGTTAAAGTCAAACTAGTTATTAAAATAATGCATTTGTAATAATAAGACTAAGAAAAATTAAGTCAAAATTTGATTTTGATGATTTCTAATTCTTAATTAAAAGTTTTGCTTTTTATTATTACAATTTACAATGATGACGTCAGAAAAGGCGTAGTAGCAAATTGATAAGCGTTAAATTGATCCTAGTATCCTTATTATATTAACAAATTTATTATGGCTTTAAGAAGTAAAACAACAGATCTAAAATATAAAAATATGAAACTCAATTTAATTGATATCTTAGTATAACAGTAAAAATTTTTAATTTAAAGTTCATAATCTATATCTATTTTATAAATTAATTTATTTAATGAAATAAAAGATTACATCATCGCTGATAGTATTCTTAATATGTCTTTTGACAGTGAATAGCAAGTCAACTGGATGCTGTAATTTATCATCTTATACTTGTAGTTTCAAAAGTGGAGCAATTATAATTATTTCCAACAAAAGGAGAAAAATTGTAAATTAATCTTCGTGATAATATTTTTGATGGTGAAGATCTCACTTATGAATTATAAGACACATATTTTAAGATTGTTAATCCAGTAACAAATACTGGAGGTATATCAAGTCATATATCATGTATATTCACATTTAATTGATTTAGCTGCTTCAAATATTAGGGCAGCAAAACCATATCACACAAAGAAAATGTAATCATGGTTAAATTCATTTGTATTCCTTGATTAAAGTGCAACAGAAGTGTCTATATATTTTTCTGAAGGGTAATTATATATATATAGATATTAGAACTGCTTTAGATAAAATTCCAACTCCAGATTTCAAAACTAAAGTTAAGATTGCAACTGTGACTAATAATCTATAATGTTATGATGTAGAATATATTGACAATGATAAATTTATAGTAGATTGTTAAAAAGAAGTAATTGAAAAATAAATCACAAAATAAATTGATGTATTCTATATTTACTCAAAATAAACAAAAAAAATAACTTCGTTTGATGATGAAGCATCTGTCAAAATATATAATTAAAGACGTATAGGATTGTATTACTCAACAAGTGCATTAGGAAAAGAAACTACTTATATTGTTAGAGTTACACCAACATATTCTTTGAATCCTACAGATTAATTATCTGGAAATTCAATTGTATAAGTTTATGCATTAAGTGAAAATTATTAACCTATGTCAAGAAATTATATTTTAGATAATGTTACAATGGCATTGTTGTTAGGAAAAGTTGAAATTGAACTTTCTATAGTTGATTTTGAAATCTCTTATAATGGATTTATTTTTTTATTGGATGCTTAATATGGTCTTTTTGTTGTCAGATTCTAACCAACTGGATAATGGGAATTATTTGCTTCAGTTGATTTTTAATAAGGAAGATTATATTCATTTGATATAGATTATGAACATAAAAAGGATGGTTCTGAACTAGGAGTGATTGCTATTCTTGGATACAATTTCTTTGCTATATTGGATGCAGAAAAATCTTATGTTCATAATCTTCCATTTTTTTAATTTGAATATCCAACCACTATTAAAATATCATAAGATAATATTATTATTAGAAATGATAAATAAACATATTTTTATAAACTTGATGTAGATACTGATAAAATCTATTTAAATTATAAATAAGAAATACCTATTAGTGATGTCTTATTGATTAATCCATAAGAACCAGATTTAATCCAAATTAGCATCAAAAATTCTTATAGATATACAATTTCAAATGGATATTTGTATTATTCTGGAAGTGATAAAGTATAGTAGAAGAAAGTTGTGGTTATCAAAGCCAAAACTTCAAGTAAAGAAGAATGCACTGTTTATCTTTCATATTAAATTATTGAAGATAATGAGAATTGGATTTATCAATTATTTGATTAACCTATGCCTTTTCCAAATATAATTGCAGAAGGTTAATCTCAATCTATATTGAAAAAATTAGCATCAGGTCCAAATCTCTAATATAGATTACTTAAATCAACTTAATTAGAAGACACAGATATTACATCTACCATTAGATCAAGAGTAGAATTAAGTTTAAATAATGAATAACCTAAAAATGTTGTTTATGCAGAAATAATATCAACTGAAGATGATACTATATTCTATTAAGTTTTGTAAACTGAAAATATGAAAATATAAATATTGAATTGTGTTCATAATTCTATTTATATTGATGCTACATTTTGTGATATTTATGTAGATGATTTAGGTATTACAACTAAAGTAAATAAATAAAACTTTTCAATATGGGTCAAATATAATGTAATATATTTCATGTATATTGATACATAATATAATGTTGTAATTAGATCAATACATAATGGTGTAATAACTCCAGTTAAAACAATATAATTAGATCCTACAGTCACTGCTAATAAGATTTTAAATATTTTAAATTGTGGAGATTATCTTTTAATTCATATATCTAATAATGATATCCTTACATTCTTAATATATAGACCTGAACTTTTTGTACTTACTACTTTAAATAAAAATTCATTCTAATTATATGGTTATAATGAAGATTGGGAACCAAAAGCACTCTTTACAAATAAAAAATTACATCCAAATATTTTATTTATTTAACACAAAAATCATATTTTAATATTAGATACTGACTTTGGTTTATTCTCATTTATTAAAACTATATAAATTACTCCAAATTTAGATTATTCAATTGCTATAGGAAAAGAAACATTCTTTGTTGTTCAAGGCAAATCATCTAATGATATCAAAGATGCTTAAATCTATGAATACAATTTTGCAGATATAAATCATGTTTATTTATAGAAGAAATTATACTTATATTGGTATGATATATCCACTCCTTTAAATGTTGATTATAGTGAAGATACTGGTCATTTGTTTGTTAGAGGTGTTTGTCTATATTGTAATAAATCCTTTGTTTTAGTATTTTAACCTAATACTCCTCAACATGAGGCCTTAGTCTAAGCTTGGGATATTGCTGATACTCTTATTCCTGATTCAAAATCAATATTAATTGCTGCAAATGGATTCCATTAAATTTATTTATATTTAAATGTTGAAGGAGAACAATCTCTCTTTGCTGTTTATGATTAAACAACACTGATTGTATATTCCAAAATCTAATAAGATGTTTATTCAAATAAATATCAATTAAATTTTTAGATTAGAAATTATAATTTCTAAGGTAAACCAGAAAAATTTAACACTATCGATATCAATTAATAAATTACTACCATTTCTTCTTTAACTTAAATTAAATTAAATCAAAATGATTTCCCTTTTTCTAAAGTACCTGTAGAGATCTATTCAACTGATGAAACTAAAACCTTTGATTTAGGTCAAAATTGGTATTCTGGTTAAATTGGAAATTTTGAAATTGATTGTGACTAATGTGAAACAAATATTGAATTATAAAGTACTTTTGATTTAATCAATCCAAAAATATTTAATGGTTATGAAATTAGAGATCATATCAGATATAATACAGATTTCAATATCATGTAAGCTACAACAGGTTTAATATTTGTAAATCTTGATAATACTTTAGCTTCTGTCTATGATTTTGATTTGCCTAATATTAATTATCAATGCTATTAAACTACTGTTTCTGAAGATAAAATGATTATTTATTCATTATGTAATGATGGAACAGAATTCACAGTTTATGCTACTGGTTGTTTTTCTATAACAGGATGTTCTCCATTAGGTGAAAAATTCAAACTTGGTATGGCATCAAAAATTCAAATTATTTCAAATGAACTTTTAGTTGTTTTACATACAGATATAAATAATCCAGAACTTGTTTAAGAAGGTAAAATTGTACTTTATAAAATTGTTATGGGATTATAAGCATGGAAACTTGAAGTCATAGAAATTATTGATTTAAATTATCTTAATTCTAAATTAACAACTCCTTTAAATGATTTCAGACCTGCTGATTTTTCAATTGTTAAATAAAAATACTATCAATAAAATAAATATTCTTATAAATTGTTTATAAGTGATTCAAATATTGGTTTCATTTTTATAGATTTCTCATTTTCAAACCTACCTCAATATGTATTTTTATCTATTGAAACACTTAATCTTCATGATTACTTAAATAAGTAAGTTGGCTAATACACACTTCCAACAACTAAATTCTTATCATTCTAATTTATTTGGGAACCCATTTTTGATTGGAGTTCTAATTAATTGAGAACTTATCTAATTATTTTGACTACTGATGCTTCTTAATATGGATTCAAATTCGATTTTGCTGGTTAACCTGCATATAATACACTCCTTACTGCTAAAGCATTATCTGCTGTCATTGTAAGATATGGAGATTGGGTTCCAATGAATAAATTAGCCATCCATAATAAATATTTATAATTAGCTATTCCATATAAAAATGAAAATTAAATTATTGTCGCTGTCTATGATATTGATATTGTAACAACTAATGATTTTTCAACTATTGTTCCTACAATTAGTGTTGGCACCTATAATATATTTTATGAATAAGCTTAATGGATAAATCCTTTAAATTTAGCTATGTTTTTTGCTAAATAGGATAAACTCCTTTTTGTATCCTAATTATAAGGACCACTTTAAAGTTATGGAATCTATAGATCTCCAATTCTAATATTGAAAAATCAAGATAAAGCACTAAAAAGCTAAGAAATTACACTCCTAGCTAAAAATAACTTTTCTGAAGAAAAATTAAAATTCAAATTAATTGTTCAAGAGGTTGATACTAATGAATGTATTGCTAAGATAACTAATCTCATGATTTACCCATCAACTAATGAAGTTATGTAATGGAATTTATCATAAAATTTATTTGATGGTGTTTCTTTAAAATATAATATAGATTAAATAGATTTTGAAATAATTTAAAATAGTTAATAAATAGGATAATATATAAATCATAAATAAAGTAATAATATATAATATATAATTAATTAGTTGCAACATAAATTATTTAAGCAAAAGCATTAATTACATAAAATAGAGCATGGTCTAATTAATTTGCATTTTTAAATAAAGATAATTCAAAATATTCAATATTCTATACAAATAAGTAATTTATATATTTATATATATAATTAGACCTACATTTAATAATGCACCATCATTTAATTAAATAATTAATATTAAAAAAACAGATATTAATCTAAATTGTATAGATTTTCTATAATTATCATCAAATTCATTTATTATTGATTGTTAAATCTAAAATCATAAATTCTTATTATTAATTTAATCAAATTAAGAAACTTAAACAGCATTAATTGCTAATACTTAACTAAATAGAGCTTTGGAAACTTATTGGGTCAAGAATAATTAATTTGTTTTAAGAGTGACTCTTTCCATTACAAATGATGGCTAATTAGCAAATGATTCATTTGTTGAATTATTTTAATATGTTAATGGTGAAATTTAATCCAAGTAAACATTAGATAAAAGTATATTATCGAATATTTCTGGAAAATAAATTAATTAATTAAATATTATTGATTTTAAAATTGGATTGAATGGATCTATTTATTTATTAGATGCTAAATTAGGCATCTTTATTGTTAATTTTGATACAGAATGGAGATTTTAAAAGTTGATTACATTTAAATTTGGCTAAGCCTTTGCATTTGATAGAACTTTACTTAAAAACTAATAAGAGGCATTTGTTATTCAAGGATACAATTACTATTTAATAATTGATTCTGATGGACAAACTAAAAAGGTTTAAGATTTATAATTCAATTGCATAACATACCCCTAATCTATTTAAGCCAGTTCTAATTATATATTTGTCAAAAATTCAGCTTCGTTATTTGTTTATCATTCTGATGAAAACAATAGTGGTTTAATTGATATCATTGATTTAACAAATAGTGCTTCTATTGTAAATCCCTTCATTCAAGAAATTGTGACTATTTCTCTCAAAACATCAGCAAGATGGAATATTAGCTTAGGATCACTAAGATTCAAAGGATCAAATCAAGCATCTTAAGAATTTAAAGATTTAACCATAACAGCTAACTCTTAACACAATCTAAAATGCTCTACTAAGATATAATATTAAGTTATTGAAAGTAACAGCAAAGCTCCAATTAAGAAAAATAAATCTGATTAACCATTTCCATAAGTTTTTGATGAACTATTTGAATAATTCTAATTAGGTAACATTATATCAGGACCCAATCTTGAGTATAACTTATCCTTACCAAAAATGCCTGTAGATTATAGTGCTTAAGTTGTATAAAATAGAGAAATATAAGTTACTAATTGGCCTAAAACTACTATATATAGTACTGAATTAGTTGCAAATGATAGAGAAACCTTATTCTAGATATTCCAAACTTAAGATAAGTTGTTATCAATTTAACTTTGTGTATTAACAGATCATGTTAAATATGTTTGTAAGAATTATGGAAGTGTTTAACTTTAAGAACCAATTTCTGAATAATTATTCAGTATATGGTAAGATAGTGATAACATTGTCAGATTTATAACCATATCATCTTTATATAAAATAACAGCTTATTCAAATGCAGATGGGATTGTAATTGAAGAGAAATCTGTAACATTTACATAATAAGATGGTTAATAAATATTAAGTATTTTAAATTAAGGAGATTATTTATTTATTTTATAAAAGAATGGAGTATTAAGTAGTTATTAAAGTGAATTATTCAGTTTTGTGAATAGTATAAATGGAAATGATTTAATTGGATTTAGTGGATAATGGAAACCTTTAAAATTATATGGAAATAGAATTTTAAAATCAAATATTTTGTTTGTTCAAAATGAAAATAATATTGCCATCATCAATTATATCAATACAGAATTCATTTTCATTTAATCTATAGATTATACTATTAATAATTAAATCTACATTTCAGCTGCTAAGAATTCATTCTTTTTAGTTATAAATAAAGAAATATTTGAATATAATTATCAAAATTTATTAAATATTTACAAATCAAAAACAGTAGAATTATTTGAATATTCAATTGTTAATCCATTAGTTGTAACATCTTAATTATCAACTGGTAATCTAGTTATTAAAACTACTAAAACATAAGATGTTTATTTAAATATATATAGACCATCATTAACACAACATGATACATTTTATTTAGCATTTAAATTAAATGGAATAAAATAAGATGACTAATTTTAATTATCATTAGGAGGTTCTCTATATATCATAACTTTTGCAAACGGATAGAAAATTTAATAATTAAACTTTATCTTACTCAATCCTGAATTGATTATTATACCAACAAAAAAACTATAAAAATTTGTTTCAAACTTCTTAGTTATTATGGATATAATGAATGGGGATGACAAAACATAAAAAGTGCATTATGAATAAAATGTAAAAGTAGCAAATACTATGACTAATCTGATTATAAATGATGATGATTATTTGAAATCAATTGATATTTACGAAAATGATGGAACAACTGAAGTAGCAATTAGATCTGATTGGATTGGAGGATAAATAATCAATACAGAATTATCTTTATCAGCAATCAATGATGATATTACACTATTACCATATGTTAGTTAAGAAAAGGGTGTCTTAATGGATTACTATATATTTGATGTAGCTAAACCTTTTACTGTTACATTTTTATAGGCTTCAAATACAGTATTGTCCTTTAAGGGAGATGACTTAAAAAATGCCCAACCTGTTCTACCAAAATTATCTGAACAATACAAATGTTATAGATTAACAGCTGATTTAACAAGACTCTATTCACTTTGTAATAATGGTGTAGAAGATTAAATATAAGTAGCTAGTTGTAATGATAAATAAGAATGTAAAAGAGAAAATGCTTATATTTCAGTACCATTTGCAACTTAAATAGTTACTTTAGCTTAAGATATTGTTGTTATATTACATACAGATTCATTAAATCCTGAAAATTATGATGGATATATTACAATTCATAAATTAATATCAATTGATGGAATATGGTCATAAAATCTATTATTTACTATTGATTATCAATTCATATAATCTAAATTAGGAGCATAAACACCTAAATCATTTAGACCATCTTCATTTGTCCATTCACCAACAGGAAATAATGTTTCTGTATACTATTTATAATTGATTATTACAGATAGTGTAAATGGTTTATTGTTTGTTGATATAACTCTTTCTAAGACTACTTCCGAAGTAAAGTATTAGTTTTTAGAATATCAGCTTTTAAAAGATTGGCTAAATATTGATCAATATGCAAGTGATGCAACACATTATTATTAAGCTCAAATCATTTCTTAATAAGTTGAATATCCTACTAAAAAAACTGTTAAATTAGTTCTTGTAACTGATATTTCATCTTCATATGTGTTTGAATTAGTTTTTGCAATATAAGCTAATGTGTCTAATAAATTAAGTTCAATAAGAACTATTTTTACATTAAATAGATATGGTAATTTCAAGGCTTTGAATTATGTTTCAGCTTCATCATCTTCAATAGCAATTCCTTATGTAAATAACATAGAGGTTATTATTGGAGTTTATAAGATTCCAACTGATTAGGAAAATGCTGCAGTCTAAACTATATAGGGTTCTCATACATTTCCAACCTTTAAAAAATTAATCACACCTCAAGATTTCTTACTTTATAATTCAGATAATTTATTATTAACAAGTACTTCTACTGTTGGAGTCTATTAAAATTAAGTAAGATATCAATAAATATTGAAATTTGGGGATCCTAAGAAATTACATAGTCAAAAGCTCTCTTTAACTTTTTAGAATGATTTTAGAAGAGTCGTCAGAACAATCAATTTATCAATAATCCCCGTTGATAAAGACGAATGTAGAACTAAGATGACAGATCTTAAGATATATCCTTCATAAGGTGAAGTTATGTAATGGAATTTATCATAAAATTTATTTGATGGTGTTTCTTTAAAATATCATGTAGATTAAATAGAATTTGAAATAATTTAAAATAGTTAATAAATAGGATAATATATTAATCATATATAAAGTAATAATATATAATATATAATTAATTAGTTGCAACATAAATTATATAAGCAAAAGCATTAATTACATAAAATAGAGCATGGTCTAATTTATTTGCATTTTTAAATAAAGATAATTCAAAATATTCAATATTCTATACAAATAAGTAATTTATATATTTATATATATAATTAGACCTACATTTAATAATGCACCATCATTTAATTAAATAATTAATATTAAAAAAACAGATATTAATCTTAATTGTATAGATTTTCTATAATTATCATCTAATTCATTTATTATTGATTGTTAAATCTTAAATCATAAATTCTTATTATTAATATAATCAAATTAAGAAACTTAATATTTTCCAGTTGAAAGTCTCTTTTTAAATAGAGTTATGGATACATATAAGATTAAGGATGATTAATATGTTGTAAGAGTTACTTTATCAATTAATAATGAAGGGCAATTAGCCAATAATTCCTTTGTTGAATTGTTCTAAGTTACAAACGAAGGTTTAATCAGTAAAACAACATTAGATAAAACTAAATTAATTAATATTTCTGGAAAATAGATAAATTAATTGAATATAGTTGATTTTAAAATTGGATTGAATGGATAAATCTATTTACTAGATGCTAAAATAGGAATCTTTGTTGTATTTTTTGATACAGATTGGAAATTTTCTAAATTTATTGGATATAATTTTGGATAAAGTTTTGCATTTGATAGAACTGTGTTTAGTAATAATGAAGAAATGTTTGTAATAAAGGGTTATAATTATTATGGAGTAATAAATTAAGAAGGAAAAATTAAAAAAGTATAAGATTTGCCATTTGCAAGTGTAACATATCCTTAATAAATTATGTTAAGTCATAAATATGTGTTCTTGCATAATCAAGGAAATCTATATATATATCATTCTGATGAGGATAATAGTAGTTTGATAGATATTATGAATGTGTCAAATGGAGCTGGAATAGTAAATCCAAATAGTTAAGATATTGTTATACTATCCCTCACATCTTCTTCAGCATGGACCTTTAGTTTAGGATAATTAAAATTTAATGGAAATGCATAAGCAAGTACAAATTTCAAAACTTTGACAATTTCAGCTAAATCTTAACACAATTAAGTTTGTTATTCAAGAATATTCTATTAAGTATTGGCTAGCAATAGTGTGACAATCTTTAAAAAGATTGATACTGAGACTCCATTTCCAAAAGTATTGGATGAGAATGATGAACAAGTAAAATTAGGAAGTTTGGTTTCAGGTCCTAATTTAATTTATGAAATTGTTCAACCTAAATAACCATTAACTTTGCATTCTAATAATTTTATGAACTTATTTACAGAACCAGATTTAGATGTCTTTGCTTAGATTGCACATTAGAGAACAATAAAAGTGAATAATTGGCCTAAAAAATCATTATATTAGACATCTCTAATTGGCAATAATTAAGAAACTCTATTCTAAGTATTTTAATAAGAAGATAAGAAAGTTATTATTTAAACTTGTGAGTTGACTGATCATGTAAGATATGAATGTAAAGATTTTGGAAATGTTTAAGTTAAGGAATAATTATCAGATTAACTTTTTAGTATATGGTAGGATAGTGAAAATATAGTTCATTTCATAATATTAGAGACACCATTTATTATTAAATTCTTCAAAATAAAAAATAGTCAAACTGTTTAATAAGGATTTATTAAATTAAATGAAAATGAAGAGAAAGATGAATTAAAAGTATTAGCATTTTAAAATCAAGGAGACTTTATATTTTTAATTTAAGAAAATGGTGAATTGTCATCATATTCTACTGAAAAGTTTACATTAATTAATAAAGTTACTGGAGTAAATTTAATTGGATTCTAAGGTGACTGGAAACCAATTAAGTTATATGGTAATAGAATTTTAAGATAAAATGTTATATTTGTTTAAAATGAAAATAATGTTGCAATTATCAATTACAGTAATCAAGAATTCATTTATGGATAGTAGATAAATTATACTAAGGGCAATTAAATATACATAACTTAATCAGTAAATTCATTCTTTTTTGTAAATAACAAAGAATTGAGTGAATACAATTATGAAATGGTTAACAATGTTTTCAAGTAAAAGACTGTTGAATTATTTGGATATTAAATAACTAATCCTTTAGGTGTCTCATCACACTTATAAACAGGTATTCTAATAATTAGAACAATAAAAAATGATAATGTATATTTGAACATTTTCAAACCAGATTAATTATAACATGATACATTTTATTTGGCTGTTAAAATTAATGCTAAAGTTGATGATATATTTACAGTATCTGCATGTGGATCAGATCCAATAGGATCAGCTTATATAATTACTCTAGTAAATAGCGAAGTAGTATAGTAATTAGATTTTATTGTACTTGATCCATAATTGATTCTTATTCCAAATAAATAAAAACAAAAATATCTTACTGATTATGAAATTACAATTAATGTTAAGAATGCTGATTCCTAAAATAATAATTTACTTCCATTCACATAAAAGGTTAAAGTCATCAATACATTTACTAATTTAATTGTTGATAATACAAATTAGATTTAATAAATAGATATTGAACCAAAATAAAATTCAACATCTATTAAGTTAAAAAATGGATGGATAAATGGATAATAAGCTTATTGTACATTAAAATAAGAAAAAGCTAATGATATAGTTTTATAATCATATCTATAAGAAACTAAAAAAGAAGCACTTACAAATCACTAAATCAAAGATGTTTCAACATTCTAAAAGAATGTAATTCTTTAAGCTAAAAACACAGTTCTATTAATGAAAGATAATAAATTAGAAGAAAGCAAACCAATTCTTGATATTTTAGGCTAAGAATACGATTGTTTCAGAATAACATCTTATGAAAAATCTATATATTCACTTTGTAATAATGGAGTTGAAGATTAAATATAAGTAGCTAGTTGTAATGATAAATAAGAATGTAAAAGAGAAAATGCTTATATTTCAGTACCATTTGCAACTTAAATAGTTACTTTAGATTAAGATGTTGTTGTTATATTACATACAGATTCATTAAATCCTGAAAATTATGATGGATATATAACAATTCATAAATTAATATCAATTGATGGAATATGGTCATAAAATCTATTATTTACTATTGATTATCAATTCATTTAATCTAAATTAGGAGCATAAACACCTTAATCATTTAGACCATCTTCATTTGTCCATTCATTGACTCATTCTGATGATAATTTATTTGCATTTTAATTCATAATATCTGATAGTGTAAATGGATTATTATTTATTGATTTAACTTTTTCAAAGACTACATTTGATATCAAATTTTTATTTATGGAGTATTAGTTACTTAATAAATGGTTGAATGATAATAAACAATATGCTAATGATTATACTCATTATTATTCTAATAAGATTATAGAAGAATCAATCAAGGATAAAATCAAGACTATCACAATAGTGGTTGTTACTGATAATTCTTCATCTTATATTTTTGCTCTTACATTTGCCATTTCTGATAATCATTCAAATAAGTTGACAGATACTAAAGTTATAGCGGCTCTGAATAGATACGGATCATGGAAAGCATTAAACACTTTGGCTGCTAATAAATAATCAGTTGTTTTGGCATTTGTGCATAATTCTAAAGTTGTAGTTGGTGTTTATCACATTTCAGATAATGCTGTTTAAGCAATTAAAGGTTCCTTTTCATTTACTATTGCTGGAACATCAAAATTGGAACCAATTGATTTCCCACTTTATTTACAAGTAATTATTTATTATTATACTTTAGGATTCAACTTTGATATCAAGTAAAGCCAATAAGGGATTAAATCAATATGAGATCAGATAGGATATAAGTTTGAACTTTGGAGAAAGTGCCAAACTTGAAAACCAAACTTTAACAATAACCTTTTCTAATGATTACAGAACTGTCTCTAAATAAATTAAATTAAATATCAAACCAGACGATGATGGTGATGATGACGGAGGTTCAAGTTCTAAAGCTTGGTGGATCACACTCATTGTAGCTGGATCTTTGCTTATACTAGGTTTGATAGGATTTTTATTCTACAAAAAGAGAAATTATCAAGATGAAGATTAAGATGATCAAGAATCTGGTTTAATGCATGTAAATTGAGTTATACATTAACAAAATTATTATATGAAATAAATTTATTAATTAGATATCTTTTTATCTATATATTTAAATAAGAATCAGCTCTTCACCTGTTATATCAATTTTAATTAAAGTTATACTATTTTGACTTTGATTAAAAATTAATTTTTAAATCAAATGATAATTATGATAATACAATAATTTATTGATATCTAAAATATTAATTTAAGTCATTCATTTTTTGATTTAAGTACTATTATTTTTTCCATCTATTTTTACTATAATTTCTAAAAGTTCAATTTCTTTATATTTTATCCTATANCTATTGATTATCAATTCATTTAATCTAAATTAGGAGCATAAACACCTTAATCATTTAGACCATCTTCATTTGTCCATTCATTGACTCATTCTGATGATAATTTATTTGCATTTTAATTCATAATATCTGATAGTGTAAATGGATTATTATTTATTGATTTAACTTTTTCAAAGACTACATTTGATATCAAATTTTTATTTATGGAGTATTAGTTACTTAATAAATGGTTGAATGATAATAAACAATATGCTAATGATTATACTCATTATTATTCTAATAAGATTATAGAAGAATCAATCAAGGATAAAATCAAGACTATCACAATAGTGGTTGTTACTGATAATTCTTCATCTTATATTTTTGCTCTTACATTTGCCATTTCTGATAATCATTCAAATAAGTTGACAGATACTAAAGTTATAGCGGCTCTGAATAGATACGGATCATGGAAAGCATTAAACACTTTGGCTGCTAATAAATAATCAGTTGTTTTGGCATTTGTGCATAATTCTAAAGTTGTAGTTGGTGTTTATCACATTTCAGATAATGCTGTTTAAGCAATTAAAGGTTCCTTTTCATTTACTATTGCTGGAACATCAAAATTGGAACCAATTGATTTCCCACTTTATTTACAAGTAATTATTTATTATTATACTTTAGGATTCAACTTTGATATCAAGTAAAGCCAATAAGGGATTAAATCAATATGAGATCAGATAGGATATAAGTTTGAACTTTGGAGAAAGTGCCAAACTTGAAAACCAAACTTTAACAATAACCTTTTCTAATGATTACAGAACTGTCTCTAAATAAATTAAATTAAATATCAAACCAGACGATGATGGTGATGATGACGGAGGTTCAAGTTCTAAAGCTTGGTGGATCACACTCATTGTAGCTGGATCTTTGCTTATACTAGGTTTGATAGGATTTTTATTCTACAAAAAGAGAAATTATCAAGATGAAGATTAAGATGATCAAGAATCTGGTTTAATGCATGTAAATTGAGTTATACATTAACAAAATTATTATATGAAATAAATTTATTAATTAGATATCTTTTTATCTATATATTTAAATAAGAATCAGCTCTTCACCTGTTATATCAATTTTAATTAAAGTTATACTATTTTGACTTTGATTAAAAATTAATTTTTAAATCAAATGATAATTATGATAATACAATAATTTATTGATATCTAAAATATTAATTTAAGTCATTCATTTTTTGATTTAAGTACTATTATTTTTTCCATCTATTTTTACTATAATTTCTAAAAGTTCAATTTCTTTATATTTTATCCTATAATTTGAAGGAAATACCATATTAATTACTTTCTTCTTACTTTATGATTTTGGTTTTGATACCCGAAACAAAGTGTAATTATTTATTGTTGCGATTTTCAAACCATTAGACTTACTAAATCTTTTCTTTCTGGTTTTGGTTTGATTTTATACAGAAATATTATGACTAGATCTAGTACAATTATACATATCATTTCAATTGTGTGTACAGATATGAAATTTTATGGGATCGCTAAACCTTAATTGTTGTAAATCAAATAACTTACTCAAAATTTTTGCTATTCTTATTAGGATGTTTTAAAATGCCCATTTGTTTTAGTTAAAGAATTATCCTATAAAATCAAAAAGAAAGGTTGGAATAAATCACTTTGATAAAGATTATAAAATAGTAGTAAATCAAATAAAAGCTAAATTTCATACTTTTTGTCATTTTTTAATTTATTAAAATATAATGGATAGATAATTGTAAACGAGTCAAAGAATCTTTACAAAAGCTTAGGTTGATGAGAAGGTTAAATATTTACTTTGTGTTGATATGGATTCTCACCAAATCTTCACTATTAATCTTAAGAATCATGAAATCTGTATAGAATATGATGTTCCTTAGGCTTATAGAGTTAAAGCTAAAAAGGATATAATGGATATCTAGAAATTAGTTTAATTGCCTGATTCCTCATGGAATATGGATACATTAAGAAATTAAAGGTATCGAAGGAGAGAAATCTCAGAATATTTATTGCATAAAATTGTTAACTAAGAGCCAACCTATTTGGCTGAATCATCAATGTCTGATGCATTCTCTAAAGTCACTTCACTAAAATTGATTGTTGATCTAAGTGATTACATTAGATTGGAAGACTAAGTATATTAAGATATAAATCCTATAACAATTGAATTGCATGTGGATTTAGTCACTTGTTCAGATGAGGTAATTAAGAAGATTTTGAGAGTAGTTTATAACAACTTTTAAGTTAGACTGAAAACTAAATCTCAGGAAAATTAGTTTGTTCTTTAAATTTCTGGTTTTAGAGAATATTTAGCAGGAAATTATTCAATATTAAGTTATGATAGAGTCAGAATGAATTTAAGAGGTATATAGTATTTACAAGTTAATCTAACTGAAGTTCCTAAAGTAAGAAGGATGTATGATAATTTTCCTCCTATTTTTGAAAGAAATGCAGATGAAAGTGTACCTTGGGATTAATTTATTGATATTCCTTGCTTTCTATTTTATTCTCCATTTCCTTTACGTGATATTAAGAATGAAGAGGGCAAAAAAAGAAAAAAAATAAGTAGATAAGACTCTAATTTCTCTCCATTAAGACCTCGTTTATTTTTGAAAGAGAGATGTTTGGAATTTGTTGAAATGAGATACTAAATGCTATAAGAACGATATTTCCCTTTAAAAAAGAGTATCATATATTCAGGGGAATGTGATTATAGATTTAAAATTCAGATTCTTTGTCTCTCAAATATACATAGATTATTCATATTGGATGATAAAGATCTTGATGAATTCAAAAAACAAAATGGACATAAAAGAAGAGCAACATATAATGGTTAATGTCCTCCTAGATTTATTACAAAAGCTTCTGCAAAATAAGAAGAATTACATAATACTTCTAAGAAGAAGGTAAAAGTTGAAGATGAAGAAAAATTATAAAAGAAGATAAGTTTCCTTAAATTATGTAAGACTAAAGAATAAGATGCTTAATAAATTAAATAACTTTCTAAAGGTTTTTTTAATCCTCATTTTTTTAATCATGGTCCATAAGGAACAGCTAATATGGAATGTTTAATGTAGAAATATGAATTAGATATACAACCATATTTAATATCAGTTTAAGTTTTATTAATGTATGGACAAACTCCTTTGACTAAATTCAGTGTTGTCAATAGTTAAAAAGTTCCATTCAGATAAAACACTTGGTTTTATTAAGATATTACATTTTAAGGATTGAAAATCTCATAATTACCTATGGAATTAAGATTATGTTTCAATATTGTTTTACATTCTTCAAATGGTGAAGAATAAATAATTGGAAGTACAATAACAGAATTATTTGATGAAAATGGAAAACTAAAATAAGGAAGGTTACATTTAAATGTATGGCCATTCTATAAATGTGATACTAGAATAGCATGCATGAATGAATATTATGGAGCAGCATTGCCTAATCAAGAACGAGCACCATATTATACTTAATTAGTTATTGGGATGCCAACATTTATTGAAGATGTATATTGGAGTTTGAGAGATGAGAAATATATGAAATAAGTTGGATTCCCTTCTACTCCATTGAATATTTAATAGATTTCTCTACAATATCTTAATGGAGTATTAGAAAGAAGGGGTACTTTGAATTCTAGTGTCACAGTTAGACCTCAAAGAGATTGGAAAGCTACTCCAAATACAAATGAATTGGCTAAATTGGATAGATTATTAAAGTTTGATCCTCTTTAACGTCATCTTTATACAGATGAAGATAAATTCATTTTATTAAAATGTAGAAATCATTACAAGAATTAACCATCTGCTTTTCCAATATTTTTATGTGCTATTAATTGGAGTGATCCTGAAGAAATTAGAGAAGTCTATTAAATGATGAAAGTTTGGACTAGTTTACCTTCTGATGATGCATTGCCTCTGTTAGATGCAAATATTTCAGATGAATTAGTAAGATATTATGCTACCAAAAGAGTAGGTCTATATAAGGATGATGAATTAGTGTTATTTATGTTAGAATTGACTTAAGCTTTAATTTTTGAATAATGTCATTTTTCACCTTTGGGAGAAATGCTTATTGAAAGATCCATAATGAATCCTTGGGTTGTTGGACATGAATTATTTTGGTAATTGAGATCATAATTACACATACAACCTACTTATGAAAGATATAGTTTAATATTAGAATAGTTAATGATGCTTTTTGGAAATTATAGATATGAATTATTTGGTGAAGTTTAAGTTAATGATGAAATCATGTAGATTGCTGATTTTATAAAGACAGAAAAGGATTCAAGTAAAAGATTAAAAGAAATGAAAAATAAATTATAAGATGCCAGACAGAAATTCTCAAAAACTTTTTAATTTGCAATTGATCCAAGAATGAGTGCTTCAGAATTGATTTATGAAAAATGTAAAATATTAGATAGCAAAAAAGTAATCGAGTATATATATATGTCTATAGCTACCTTTATGGTTAGTTATGAAATCTGCTGAAACTAGAGATGTGAGTTAAATTCCAAAGTAAATCATCATGTTATCTTCTAAAAATTTAAAAGATACTGATTGTCTTGAAAACTTAAGAAGAGAAAAAGAATTAAGAAAAATAACTATAAATGATAAATTTCTTATTATTTTTAAATGTGGAGATGATATCAGATAGGATTTACTAACATTATAATTGATAAAAATTATGGATAAAATATGGTTAGATTTTGGTCTTGATTATAGAATGAAACCATATAAAGTCATTTCTACATTAGATTAAGTAGGAATGATTGAAGTAGTTCTTAATTCAGACACTACTTCAAGTATCCATGAAAATGCTGGTAAATTTGGAGCATTAAATAAAAGTTCAATTATGGAATATTTAAAAAAACATAATAAACATAGTATGGAAAATGCAGTAGAGAATTTCTTAAGATCTTGTGCTGGTTATTGTGTTGCTACTTATCTTTTAGGAATTGGTGATAGACATAGTGGTAATATTATGTTAACTGAAAGTGGACATTTATTTCATATAGATTTTGGACATTTTTTAGGTATCAATGATTTATCATTTATTTTTTAGGTAATTTTAAAACAAAATATGGAATCAATAGAGAAAGAACTCCTTTTGTTTTTACTTAAGAAATGGCTTATGTAATGGGAGGAGTATAAGGACACAATTTTTAAAGATTTGAAGATTTTTGTACTAAAGCCTATAATTAAATTCGATAACATGGACATTTGCTAATTAATATCTTCCTTATGAATTTGTCAGCAGGTATGCCTGAATTGTAAGAGATTGCAGATATTGAATACTTAAGGGAGAAATTATAATTAGATATTGGAGAATAATAGGCAACTGAATTGTTTAGGAAAGAAATTACTACTAGTTTAAATGATATGTGGAGAAAGATTGATAATTTAATTCATAACTTTACAAGAGATTGATTAATAAAATTCCTTATATAAAATTATAATTTTCATTCTTATTTCTCTTTTATCTATCTTTATTCTCTTAATTAAGCCAAAGCTCTCATTCTCAAAATTTATGAGTCTGTTATAGTATTCTTGGCATATGTAGTTTATCTTTTATAAAAGAAAACATAAGCACTTGTTATTGAAATAACAAAAGTAAACATTAATAACACTTTCAATAAAGTATGATCACTAAATCCTATATAACTCATCTTATCAAGTACTGTAGATAGAATCTGAATTAAAAGTTCTATTAATCTTAATATCGTGAAAGTCATTTTTATGCATTTCTGAAGTGTTTTATTATTGGCTTTTAAATTTACGCAATAATTCTTGATAATCTGCTCTTTTTTAAGCATTTTCAGGTTTATAATATTCTTGAGGTTTTTCATAGAAATAAAATCCAAAAATCATTTTAAAACATTCTTCCTCAGATTATGCCTAACTATTTTAATGGTAATTTTAATTTACTAATAATTCTTCTAAAACTCTTCATCAACCTATTCATAAAATTTCTTTTATTTCAAAATTTTATAAGCTTCATGAATTTAAGTAAACTTTTCTCTAGCATCTTCTTGATTATTTAAATCAGGATGATCTAAATATTGTATTATTAAATAAGTACATTTTTTACATAAACCAATATAAGCATCCTTGATTTAATTCATAGTGGCATTTTTGTTTAATCCCAATATTATATACGGATCAGATTGTTGAGTTGCAAATCGAAAAAATCTTAAGTATGTTTACATAATTATTAATAAAATTAGATAATTAACATTTATAATATTTGATATCTACTGTAGACAATAAATTTATAGAGAATCTTTCATGAATATTAAGGCAAAATCTTTTGATAAAACTATAATATGTGCTTTATAAGTTGAAATTATGTCATGACATTCATAATCATGGAAATGTTTATATTATAATATATATAAAATACTAAATATCTAATTACAATAATTAAAATAAGATCATTATGAATAAATTTCATATTTTTGTAATTGCAATTAAATTAAGTATTTTATATATTCTAGGCTGGCAATCTTCTATTTAATAATTATTAATATTTTTATTATGAAGAATTAAGAGAATATATATGATGACCCTTATTTCTAATTTCTAATTATTTGTCATTACCTTAGTAATAATAATTAACTCCATTGAGACTTGTTTATCTTATATGAAAGAACTAGTTTTAAAATTTAAATTGTTTTTCTATTCTAAAGTTGATTGAGCATAAACTTAATTATTCTTAATTTGAAACATGTTTTGAGTGATTTCTAATTACCATTACTTAAATTGCCAAAGGATGCTATATTTAATCCTTTTTTCAAAGGTAAAGTAACTTAATTTTATATAGGTTATGTTTTTCTATATAATAAAATGAGATTAAATATGTATTATGTTATTCAGCATGAAATTAAATGTCTTAAACATAGAACCTCTTAAAACTTATAATTATCATTTATATCTTGATATCTTTCTCTATTTAACCTATTGAATCAATCATTTTCAAATTTGTTATAATAATCCTCTAATTTTACTATCTATTTAGAATGATTAATGCTAATTAAAATAGATAACTCCCATGAGTAATCTTATTTGATACAATAACATTTCCCTATTTGTTGAAAAGGATTCTATATTATTTTAAACTATTTGACATTAATTTAATTATTTTGTAATTTTATAATTATAATTTTTCATTATTTTTTTTCTTCAGCTACAGCCTTCCTCTTTAACTTAAGTACTTCTTCTTTTGGAATCTAAAATTTATATAGATTCAAAATATATACTTCCTTTAAATCTTATGGACGTATTTATTTTTGGCAAAGTGGACAAATTGGTTCAATTTCTAGAATTCTTTTGAAATATTAAATGTTTGCAGGAAATTTACATTCTGGACACAAACAACATTATTCTGCTACTATATGTCTGAAATTAATAATATTAATTACTTTGCAGATGCAATACAAAATGGAATATTATTTGAACATTTTGGACAATCAAGACAAAATTCACTAACAAATTCCTAATAATCATTTTTAATTATACTCCACAAAATGGACATGGTGTTTTCTTATCTGGAGTTTCCTCTTTTACTGGTTTTCTAGCTATATTTTCTATTTTAGTTTTAAATTTTTCATTTATTTATTATCTATATTCTTATTTCATTAATGTAATAGCCCATTAATATGCTAATGATCTATAATTAAATTCAAATAATTACTTAAAATTAGCTTTTGTAGCTTCAATTACAGCCATAGTTAAAATATTTGTTGCACCATTAGGAAATTAACTAATACTTTTACATACTCTATCTAATAATTTTGCTAAATCTTCATGTTCTTCTAATTTCATAATCTTTTTAACTAATGTATATGAATGTAAAGTCATCAATTTTTAATATAAATCAAATGGTATTTAATTTCCACTTGATTTCAAATCCTCACAAGTTTCAAATAAAAATTGATGAGCTTCCTTATATTTACCACATTCTTATTCTGATCCTGCAATAGTAATAGCAATTCTTCCAACTGCTGCTAAATTACCAATAGCTTTTTATAATTTTAATGAATAAATGGGATCTTTTGGAATATCATCAGTATCTCCATTAATATAATCTGATAAATGTTAGATTAAACTATCTTATTTATTACGAGCAACTAAATCTATCATATCATTAATAAATTCCTCTCCTGCTTATTAATATAATCTCAAAGCTTTCATTGGATCTTAGGCTTTCTCATAATGAAATGCAGCTTTATCTAATTAATTTTTTCCTTCAAAATATTATGCTACTTATAATCTTTCTTCAAGTGAAAATGCTTTCATATGTTCTACATATGAATCCATTTCATTATAATTTTGAGCCAATGCAAATGCTTATTCTTTTTTTTCAGCCAATATTAAGAATTCAACAGCTTCTGCTTTAGATCCTCTTCTTTCACAATATTAAGCAACCATTAATGCAAGAGTCACTGTTTTACATTTATTACGTAATATGAATTTAGCCCTTTCAATATTATTTAATTAATTTAAGTTTAAACGAACAACATTTTCCCAATCTTCAGCTTTTTCATATACATTTTCTGCTTCTTAGAAAGCTCCTTCACTTTCTTTTGCCTTTGCATATAATATTAATAATTTTGGAGATTTAACTTTATTCATTAATGGTGCAGCTTATTTAAACATCTTTTATGTAATATAAATAGTAGCTGCTTTCTCTATACAACCAGCTTATTCATATAATTCTGCAGCTTCAACTTAAAATTTCATATTTTCACACACTAATGCAATTTCCTATAATATTAAAGGATTTGAAATTTGTCTTGATAGACTTGATCCTCTTAATATATCACCCATCTTAATTGAACAACGAGCAATACCAGCTACACATTATTGATTATGTGTTTCAACTGTTTTAGAATCATGTAATTTTTCATTCAACATAGCCATCTCATACATTTTGACTGCTTCTGGATTATTACCTTATGTTTCTATTTATATAGCTAATCTTTTGCAAATAAATGGTTCTTATTCTGGTGCAATCTTTTTGGCTAAAGATAAAGCATTAACATAATCTTAGATATCACTTCTTAATTCTAGTGCTCCTAATCTATAAGATGATTTTAAGAACAAATCTTAAGCCAAATCATGTTATCCTAAAATCATTGCAACATATGCAAATAATAAATTCTTTTCAGATTCATTTTTAAAACTTTATATCATCATAACCATAGAAATATTATTGGCAGATTAGAATGATTTTTAAGCAACATCAAATTCTAAATTTTCTAAACATTTTCTACCAAAAGTATCATATAATTTTAGATTCTTTATATTTACAACTGCATTATATGCATTAGAAAATTTAAATAGGGCTAGATTTTATAAAAAATATCTAAAATGTCCCTCATTTGTATCATCAGCTCCTTTATATTATTTTAAATAAGAATGACTCATTAATGGTTAACCTATAACATTTCTAGCCATTGTAAAACATTTTAAAGTACCATTTGTTAAACTTAATGCTTAAATTCCTTTATCTAATTCAGTTATTGATAGTTTTGGAGATGCAGACTTTTGTAAATCTTCCATTTTCAAATATTCAAATACTGGATGTACCATTTCTTATTAAAAATTATTCTTATTAACTATAAAAGTTGTAAGATAAATTGTTTCTTATGTCACAAATAAATTTGGATCTTTTTAATCCCAAATAATTTTTTCTGTTTTTTCTGGAAATTCAGATATTTTAGTTAATAATTCATTAGATGCTTCAAATAAAAAACCTTAACCTTTATTATTAATACAAATTGATCTTGTTCCACTAAAATTTGGAAAGATTTTAGTCAAATTATAATCATTTTTGAATTCAATAATGAATTATTTTTCATATATATTATAGACTCTAATTTTAGATTAAGAATCTAATAAAAATAAGAAATTCTTAGTTAATCCAATATGTAAGATTGGTTTATCTTAATCATTATCAGGAAATTATCTATTAAAATTTAATAAATATATTACTATTTAATATAATCACCTGTTTATTCAATTTTATGAAAAGTACAAACATTATTACTTAAGACAGCAGCAAAATCATTATTCAAAATTATTTAATTGACATATCCTAAATAATCCATTTTAATAATTTAGGTAGCAGGTTTTATTATTTTATTATTTTTTATTTCCAAATATTTAAAATAATAAACAATATTGTTGAGTCCAGCTGCAAAGTATTAAATACTCATAGAAATTTAATTAGGTTCATTTTCTAAATTAACTTAAGAAATTTCATTTAAGGTTTACTCTTAAGTTGAATAAATGGAAAATTCTGTAAATGATTATTATAATGCAACCATAGATGCATATGAAGCTGTTAAAGTTGGAATTGATGTTTAATAACCTAATATACTACCTTTCTCAGTAGAAACAACTAAAATTTATCCATTTTAACTCCAAGTCCTTAATAATTGAATATAAATATTACATTTTAGAAACACGACCACAATCAGGTGGCAATAAAATACATTCTGTAAGTATTTCTTTCCAAGTTTATAAATTAACCATTTTGATAAAACCATCACCTGCTACTGCCAATTTATAGGTACCATCATTTGTACAAATAGCATCCACTTACTTCAATAGTTTTTCACTTTGTACTTCATCTTCTAATAAAATAAATATAAAAAATTACTTA